AGTAATGCTGTTTCTTTTGCTATACTGCCTGTTAGTAGCATTGAGTTTCATAGAACTAGCATACATAGTGCTGCTCTGAGCTGTGCTGCTCTGTTATCCGCTGTTCTTGTATTGGAATTTCTTGCTTGTATTAGCTGAAAACCTCTAAGTCTGGCTTCCTCCCTTCTTAGACTTCTTCACTCGTTATTCATATAGATGATTATCAATGCAAATAGCTTGATTAGAGAACATTGCAAAGTTCTCTAGCCAATCCTGCTTAAAGATCTCATTCTTAATATCATCTTTGAATCCCTTATAATAGTATTCCATGAGATTCTTATCTTTCTACAAGAGTTTTGCTAAGAGTTGCTTGAATCTAACTGTATAAGCAGAAGCTAACTTGGTCTGTCTGAGGTTCATAAGCTGCTAAGCTGTAGTGCATTCTTCGTTAGGATTACCAAAGATCTCCTTGAGAGCCTTCTCGAAGCTTTCAAAAGAATTAAACATGTTCTTAATATCCTGGGTATGTGCGTTGGGATTGTTCTGATGCTTCAAGTGGTTATGCAGAGAAAGCTTGTATCAAATGAGAGCATCTTTTTCGAGATGAGTTTCTGCAAGAATGATCTTTTCAGACTCCTTGGTGAACTGGTTCTTGTGGTGCAGAAAATACGCTCTGCAGTGGATAAGGAATTCATGCAGCGTTTTCTGGTTGCTATCATATATAGCGAGCTTATTCATCTTGTATACCTTTCCAGCATCATTGATAGCTGTAGAGATAGACTGCGCCTGTTGAGCTTATTGAGCTAGCTGAGCCTGTTAGTTAGCGATAGTAGCGCTTTGGGCCTGCTGTTGTTCGCGCAGATCCTGGATATGCTGAGTAAGCTGGTATATCTGGTTAACTAGTTCTTCCTGAGTAGAAGCGTATGAGAACGAAGGGATTCCTGGAGGAGCTATCGTATTCCGTATTGCTCAAAGGATAATACTGAACCATTCTTAAACAAGAGTTATCAAAATGTAATAAGCACTGCAGCAATCCAAAGATTCCTAAGTACACGAAGAGGTTTATGCTAACAAAAGCGGTGCCAAAGTATCAAGTCCTTGAATACGGAACTGTACAAGTCCTAATAAGCGATGCAAGTATTCACTGCCTTTGAGGCTACTCAGTATAGAAGACTGAATACTTAGATTAACAACTGAAGAGCTATATACTGAATCTATCTAATGGTAATGAACGTGTCCTTATATATCCAGCTCTTCATCGTGGATATGTTGGATAGCAACATATCCAAGTTATCCTGCTAGCTCTGGATAGCACATATCCGAAGCTATCCTTCCTGATTGGCTGTATCCATAATCCTAACCCTGGGTTATGTAATCAATGCTTTGTCAGGACGTTGAGTTCTTAACACCTAGTCCCTGTTACGCGTAACCTGTTCTGTGACCTGCATGTTGGATGGGTCATAACACTCTGGCTCAATCCACCCATATTCCTTCTCGCAAATATCGAAATACTAGTTAACAGCTTTCGGAGTGAAGGCATCGTATCGAGTAGCTTCCTGGCGAGTGCCTATTTTAAGGCGAATATCAGGATTTCTCTTCTTGAAGCTATCTATCCATTTCTGGCCGAGGGTATTCGTATCCCCTTTCTGCTTGAGGAGGGCAGCCACAATGCCACGCACAGCAGAAGCTGATGGGGCATATCCTAATCTTTCTTGCTTGAGGATCCATTTCGATATCTTCTTTTCTTCTACCATCGAAAGGCGTTGTGAGAGCTGTTGGACCTCTTGAACTAACCCCTTCCCTTTCAGGCGATCTGAGAGCGTTTGAGGCGGAATTCCGTGCTTTTTCGCTGATTTTCGTAAAGAAAGATGATTATCTATGATGTTGAATAGGGCATTAGCCATATTCTCTTCGTTCCAGGCGTGAGAAGGTATCGTGGCGTTGTTGATGTAGTTGGTGTTGAAGGAAAAAGATTACAGAAATCAAGACAGGAAGGAACAGATATTAGCTGCTGGCATCACCAGAATTGCGTTATAAGGCGTCAAGGCATATAAATGAATATACTAATCGATTCAGCATTCAAAGGGCTATTTATCTACTAAAAGAACCTCTGAATAGCTTCAATATTGAAGGCAAAACGTGTAAGTGAAGATGTTGATATTTGTATGGAGCCGTCGGAAATTGGCTGTCCGGCGGGTAGGGGTGTCCGGCGGGTAGGGGTCCCACAGTAGTAAGCAGACCTTGAATAGTATGCTTGCATGGCAAGCCCATCTGCCTATTGAACTGGCCAGTGCAGATAGTTAATCTTCCTGATAGTTCTCGCCTGGCCTGAAGATATTGCTGATGGATCTGTCTTAATGGCCAGATGGGTCGTATGCATGGCTTTTCTTCTTGCGCACGAAGCTGCCAGCTGAGAAAGAATGTCTAGCTGAGCAGCAGAGATCTCGAAGCGCATTCTCTGCAGCATCGTGATCTGTGAAGAGAGTGTTGCAAATAGAAAGATCGGTGCAATGTGAGGGTGGCAGGACGCTGTCTGGCGAGGTTTCCGATATTGACGCGTTTGAGCGTGCAGACATCGTTTTGAACCCCCAAAAAAAAAAGGCTGAGAGGTTCTTCTCGATGAAGAGGATATATGAGGTGATTCTCGTGATGCTAGGGATAGAAATGAAGGCTGTGGGGATAGATTCAGTTGATGATGTGCGTGTTTGTTAGACGGGAGTGTCGCGATAGTTACTATCTACGGTGGAGGGCGCCTGAGAGAGCCAGAAGTGTGTGCTGGAGGAGGCGCTAAGCCAAACACGGTTAGAGGGACTATCTTTTTACCAGACGGAGACTATCGATTTAGCGGTTCCGATCAGATAGTTTGGAGCATCTTTGTTAGTCGAGTAGTTTCTATTATTTTTCTCAAATACTGGATGGTTTCCAATTTCCTTGTCAGTCGGGCGGTTACGATGATCCTTGTCGATCGGATAGTTTCCCTTATCCCTGCTAAGGACCGGGTGGTTTTCACTATCCTTGTCAATCGGGTGGTTTCAATTATCCCTGTCAAAGATCGGGTGGTTTTCACTATCCTTGTCAATCGGGTGGTTTCGATTATCCCTGTCAAAGATCGGGTAATTTTCACTATCCTTGTCAATCGGGTGGTTTCGATTATCCCTGTCAAAGACCGGGTAGTTCTAATTATCCTTGTCAATCGGGTAGTTCTCGTCAGCAGGTGGTTTCGATTATCCCTGCTCTAGACTACTCGTGGGCACTAGCCCTCCTGGCCCACTACCTCCGTTCCTCCGGTAGTGGGTGCCAAAAATCGTGCGCGGCCAAAAATAGTGCGCATTTTCAAGGAACTTTTTTAGTATGGCGCTGCTACCCAAATTGAGTGCTTAAGCCAATGTTTGCTCATTAATTTATTCTGTGGCCTTTCATACACGAATGCAGAGAGGTCTGAATGCCTCAGTCGAATGAACTTTTCGAACCTTTTCATTCAGCTAGACCTTTTAAGTACCAATACACTCATTTCTATAGGCAATATACATCCAAGGGCTAGTAGATGCGAAACTCGGCGAAAGGCTCTGAGACGAGATGCTCTGAATGCCTTTGATGTTCTTTTTACAAACATGAGAAAGATCTCCGGCCTGATTGATTATCCTCTCCGGCCTGAATAATCCCTATTGAAAAGCACTGCTGGGGACAGGTGGTGAGGAGGATATATTCTCATCGCTATACTAGTTCTCAGCATCATGCAATGCTGTTTTGAGATTAGTAATAGCATGCAATAAGGCTATATTAACATCTCGAAGAGGGCGTTCAAGGCTTAGCTCTAGACCAGATATCTTAATACTGCTTGAAATAGAAATAAAGCTCTCAGCACTATTATCGCTATCATCGCTGTTATTGCTGTTATCGCTATTATTGCTAGCATTGCTAGCATTAGCATCAATGAACTGCTATATATCCTGGGGGATCAGTTGCTCTAAAGGCGTTCATTGCTCTTCTTGGATTGCTAGCTAGTTCTCAGGATAATAGATTGCTAGCTAGTCTCTGAAAAGAATCGGTTGCTCTTAGTATTGCTGCCCAGCTGCCTTCCATGCAGTATGCTGCTCTTTTCGTATTGTCTTCTTTCTCTGTGCTTTGTCTTTCCTCATCTTAGCCTCTTCACGCTTGCTAATGCACTTTATCCGCTGTATCTCAGCTTGATAATCTTTTTCTTCTTCGAGGAAGCTCCGCTATCGTATATTGTGAACTGCAATGCTGTCTATTATCTGGCTCTCTAGCTGAATCTGTTTCTTCGTCTTTTTATCTCAGTAATACCTTAGCCTTATATTACAATCTCGTTCATCTTCTGCTAGTTTGTTCTTGAGTATAACTGATTTAGCAGCTATTGTATTCAATGTATTCAAGCCTTTGCAAGTGCCTGAAGATAGCAGCTTGGAGTAGTAGTTCAGAAGCCTAGCAGCTGTATGTAGGCTTTGAGCATTGGTTTCTTTCGAGAGGGAGGGGAGAAGATGAGAATGTTTGATACGTTTCGTTTTCTTCTGTTTGTTGAACAGGTTGAAGAGAATGAGGTTACAATCGATTAGCTAAAAGCTTATTCTTGTAAAGCTGCTGAGAATATGCCTCATTATAAATGTATAGTTGATTATAAGCTGAGCAAACAAAATTAGTAGTTGAACTAGAATAAGAGAAGAAATATTGTAGAAGGCACTCCATGGTGTACTACAAATGGTAAAAGGGAAGACGGTTCTTCAATTAATCTATCTCAAGGCACGCTTGCCAATTGCCTTCTATATAGAAGGCAATTAGCACTAGTCCCAACTAGGCTAGCGTACCTGGCGACTCACTGCCTTTCCATTGAATGGCCCAGGCCAGTGAGTCAGGGTGGCCAGTCAGGCCTCATTCACCTGAGGCCCCTATGGCCACTGCCACAAATATACTTGTAAGGCATTATTAACAAAATTGTTTCTTGTAAAGCTAAGATTGCTCTCATGAATCTTCTTCATAAGAATTTGATGATATTTAGCTTTCAGCTACTGAAAAACACCTACATCCATTAGCTGCAAAAGATATGTAGAATAAGGAGGCAGGAAGATCATGATGATATTGAAACGAAAGCAATAATCCAAGATATCAATGCTATAATGCCCTGAAAAGCTGTTGATAATTAAGCTGCAATAAATCCTCTAGTATTGAGCACGTTAACCAGAGGCTATTGCTTCAGAATCTGCTTCCTAGCGCTAGTTAAACTTTACTATGCTATTAATACCAAACTATTCTTTCAGAGTATATCCCAGCTTTTTCAGATCTGCATGATGAGCAAATAAATGTTGATTGAAATGCTGTATCCAGTTCAGTATAATCTGAGCATTCGAAAAGCCTATATCGAACTGATTGAAGCGGATGTGCTTATTAAGCTTGCTGTTATAACCCATCCAACATGCAGGTCACAGAACAGGTTACGAGTAACAGGGACCAGGTGTCAAGGACTCAACGTTCTGACAAAGCATTGATTACATAACCCAGGATTAGGGTTGTAAAGGAGGGAGGATCGTTGGGCTCGCTAGCGATCCCAACGAGCTTCACACCTTGGATCGCTAGACTCGCTAGCGATCCCGACGAGCCATACTGAAGAGCTGGATATATAAGAACACAGCTATTACCATTAGACGGATTCAGTACATAGCTCTTCAGTTATTAATCTAAGTATTCAGTTTTCTATACTGAGTAGCTTCAAAAGCAGTGAATACTTGCATCGCTTATTGAGACTTGTACGATTCCATATTCAAGAACTTGATACTTTGATACTGCTCTTATTAGCATAAACCCCTTCGTGTACTTAGGAATCTTCGGATTGCTGCAGTGCTTATTACATTTTGATAACTCTTGTTCAAGAACGGTTTAGTGTTACCCTCTTGAGCAATACGGAATACGATAGCTTCTTCAGGAACCTCTTCGTTCTTGTGCACCTCTACTCAGAAAGAACTGGTTAATCAGGTATATCAGCTCATCTAGCGTATCCAGAATCTGTGCGAACAACAGCAGGCTTAGAGCGCTATCATTGCTAACCAACAGGCTCAGCTAGCTCAACAAGCTCAGCTAGCTCAACAGGCTCAGCAGGCGCAGTCCACCTCTGCAATCACCAGTGGCGCTGGAAAAGCGTACAAGATGAATAAGCCCGCCATGTATAACAGCAACCAAAAGATGCTATATGAATTCCTTACCTACTGCAGAGCGTATTTCCTGCACTACAAGACTTAGTTTATCAAGAAATCTGAGAAAATTATCCTTGCAGAGACTCATCTCGAAAAGAATACTCTCATTTAGTACAAGCCTTCTCTATGCAACTACTTGGAATATCAGAATAATCCCAATGCACATATCCAGAATACCAAGAATATATTTGATTCTTTTGAAAGCTTCGAAAAAGCTCTCAAGGAAATCTTTGGTAATCTCAACAAAGAATGCATCACAGCTCAGCAGCTTATGAATCTCAAGCAGACCAAGTTAGCTTCTGCTTATACAATTAGATTTAAGCAACTCTTAGCACAACTTCTGTAGGAAGATAAGAATCTCATAGAATATTATTACAAGGAACTTAAGAATAACATTAAAGATGAAATCTCTAAGCAGGATTGGTTGGAGAACTTTGCAATATTCTCTAATCAAGCTATCTGCATTGATAACTATCTATATGAATGATAAGTAGAGAGATTCAAGAAGGAAGGAAGCTAGATTTGAAGATTTCCAGCTAATATAAGCAAGAAATTTCAAAACAAAAATAGCAGCTGATATAGCAGTATAGCTCAGAGCAGTACTATGTATGCTGGTTTCATAAAACTTGATACTGCTAATAAGCAGTATAGCAAAAAAAATAGTATTACTTGCTATAATTGCAACAAACAAGGATATATTGCATACAACTATTATTAATCCCGGAAGAATAAATAGCAACTAGTTCAGGAAGAATGCTAGATGAATGTTGCTTGATAATAGGAACTCAATCAACTAAGCAAAAACATTCTCTTGGAGCAAGTATTAGATTCTATTAATTATAGAAGTCTTAGCTGAATATTCTGCTATAATAATAACTGCTTAATATATCTCTTGAGTAAGGAAGGCTCAGAATGGTTCTCTTAGAAGCTTTGATGCTACAGATAAATAGCAATAGCAGAATGAGAATATATGCTCAGCATTCTTACAAGTAGCAACTCGAACTGCTCTAATATCATGGAATAGAGCATTCAAGCATTGGAAGAAGAGCTTAGCAATAATACTCTTCAGCATTCTTCATTATTTATGCTAAGCACTATGACTAGGGATATAAACAAAGGATAATATCCTCTCAGTTACTAGTATAAATATCTGAACAATACTGAAAATGTTTCTTAAGCAATGAAAAGATCAAGCTAGAATGAATGATTTAACGATTCATCAGAGTCTCCTGTAAACAATAAATCCAAAAAGCTTACAGAAAGATTTCTCTTTAGCATTAAATAAAATAAGGAAACAATATGAATTGAATATCTCGTCTATAGGATAGAATTAGAAAAGCTCTTCATCTGCATTTCCTTGCAAAATATTAAAGCACAAGAAGATAAGAATCCTTGAATCAGCTTACTTTACAACTTATACTACGAACTAGCTTGGATCTCCTATACTTATTATAGCTATAGAATACATTTCTCAGACAAGATGCAATATAAATGATTTCCTGTTAGAGAACTAGAACAAATCCTTTAAGCTGTTAAAGAACAGAAACTCCGCTTCAGAGAGATTCTCAATAGACAACACTACAATGCATATATCAAGCTATTGAATAATTGTTCTATGCAATATATAAACAAGAAAATAAAATAATAGCAGTGCAGAATAGCACTCTGCATGATTCATATTAATAACAAGGTTTGCAACTAGTATCAACAGAAGAAAGATTAGGAATAGCGATAATATGAGCAAAAGCAAGCTAGGAAGCTTGCTCAAGAAGCAGCGAAGCAGGCTCAGAAGGATAAACAGTTTTCAACGAATTCAAAAGAACAGGATTGCTTATAAAAGGATTGTAAACAATCAGATCAGAATGGTTTCTATATAAAGCTTCTAGAACAGATTATGCTTATATTAAATTCGATATATATATTCAAGAATACAAATACAGCACATTATTGAATAATAGCGCTTAAGAAAACTTCATATTCCCATATATTATCAATCAGGCATAACTACAATAGAGATGAAAGAGATGCTTATATACTCTTAGCATTATAGAAGAACAATCTGTTGCATATAATCAAGAAGTAATCAATAAGAAGACTGATTATCTATCTATCTTGATCTAAGAACATATAATCAGAGCTTCTTTTGATATTATGAATATAGCATAGCATAAGCTGATTATGAAGCTTTCATAGCTTAAGAAGTATAATCCTCGAATCAATTGAACTACTAGCTAGATCTTATAAGAACAAGCTATACTCAGAGAGATAGTTGCAATCAATAATATAGGATTGAAGCTAGTTATTGAAGAATACTCGGGAAAAGAAGCTTCAGACAACTTTACACATACTTCCAAGTCAGCAGGGCTGGCAGTTCAAAGAGAAGGATCTAGTGATAAGCGAACTCAAATAATGCCAGAGTGCTAACAGATTAGCAAAACAACAGAAGCGAGACTCTCAGCAAGTCGGTCCGCTTTGGAGCGATAAGGAAAAGCTTCAGAATGTGAATTGTAGACCTATACAGCAAAAACCTCGAAATCAGGCTCTCGAGCGCTCAGTTCAGCCCGGAGCGAACGCTCAAGGCTCTCAAAAACGTCACCAAAAACAACGAATGAAAAGAAGCACGCTTAACAGTATCTACTGTTCCTTCAGATAGCAGAAACAGCATAAGAACTAGAACTAATACTCGTGAATATATTATAAGAATATTACAAGTTTAAGAAACTATTTCAGGAAGAATTGAATATAGGATTACTGAAATACAGCTTATACAATCACGAGATTCTGCTACAAGAAGGAAAATAGCTCAAGTTCTTTCTTATCTATAGACTAGATAAAGCATAACTAGAAGCACTTAGGGAGTATCTCGATGAGAATCTTAAGAAGGGATATATATGATCATTACAATTACCAGCAGAATACTTTATTCTGTTTATATTCAAGAAAAACAGCAAGCTTAGGCTATGCATTGATTATAAGCAACTCAATGATATTACAATGTAATGAGCACTGCAGCAATCCGAAGATTCCTAAGTATACGAAGGGGTTTATGCTAACAAGAGCGGTGCTAAAGTATCAAGTCCTTGAATACGGAACTGTACAAGTCCTAATAAGCGATGCAAGTGTTCACTGCCTTTGGGGCTACTCAGTGTAGAAAACTGAATACTTAGATTAACAACTGAAGAGCTATATACTGAATCTATCTAATAGTAATAAACGTGTTCTTATATATCCAGCTCTTCATCGTGAATATATTGGATAGCAATATATCCAAGTTATCCTGCTAGCTCTGGATAGCACATATCCGAAGCTATTCTTCCTGATTAGCTGTATTCATAATCCTAACCCTGAGTTATGTAATCAATGCTTTATCAGAATGTTGAATCCTTGACATCTAATCCCTGTTACGCATAACCTGTTCTGTAACCTGCATGTTAGATAAATCATAACATCATCTCCCTCCTATCAATCGTTATCCCTAACGATCTTTTATAAGTATCCTGGCAAGTCTTCCGTATACATGATCTTGCCTTCCTAATTGAGATGTTGAACAGAATCACCAAATCTCGTTCTCGTGCCGAGAAGACTAAACAAAAGGATTCTCTTCTTTCCTTAGTTCTTCAGAACGCTATTACCATGCCTTCTTGTTCCTTCTGCGAGGATCGTGGTATTCAATCTTGTCAAGTCTCTGTCGAGGATTCCTCTCGCTGCGCTGAATGTGTTCGCCTGAGTTGTTCTCGGTGCGATGTTCAAGGGTTGAGTGCAGCGGAAATTCATCGGATAGGCATTCAATACCAACGCCTGGAGGACCAACTTGAGAGTGCTGAGGAGCGGCTGTGCAATGCTGCTGCGGAGATAGGATGTTTGTGGAAGCAGAAGCGTCTGTAGTTTGAGAGGATGATGAAAGCTATTCGTTAGAGCCTTTTCAGTGTGGAGAAGTTAGAATATGAGGAGGCTAAGGAGGAGCGGGCTTGCGTTGCTGCCGGGGTTCGTTCTGTAGTTGCAGAGGAATCTGCTGTGATTGCTGGAGATTCTTCTTTTGAGGGTTTTGACTGGAATTCCGTGGATGTGGGGAATGCAGTAGTGGATTGGTTAGGTTTTCTGAAGGAGATGGTGAGCTCTAAGCTTCTCTCCGGGCTGGAGCAGTTATCTTAGATACTGGCTTTCCTTTTCCAATATTCAGCTACTCTTTCTTGAGCATTCTTAATGTTTTTCTGTGGTTTCCATGAATTTTCGCTCGCTAGATAGTCTTTCCATTTGATAAGATATTCCCTTATATTGTCTATGCTTCTGTGCTTAAGAATCTTCTCTATCTCATACTCTGGTTCATTGTTTTCCACTTCTGCTATATTATCTGTTAGTATTTCCTGTGCTGCTGATTTCAGCAATAAGATGTGGAAAACCAAGTGTATTCTCATTCTATGAGGTAATGCTAATTCATAGTTAACTAGGGAAATCTATTGCAAGATTTTGAATGATTCTAACTTCTTATAATTGAGTTTGTTGCTGGATCTGGTTGTTTTGATGTATTTTCGAAGTAGGTAAGCTTTATCTTCCTTCTGTAGAATTAATCTCTCAATCCTCTTGGAGTTTGCATATTGTACCATTCGTTTCTGGATGAATTGTAGTTCTGATCGGAGTTCTTCCTGAACTTTCTTGATCTTCTTAACTCTTTTATCTGCAGCTTCTGCATCTGCTTCTAGCAGTGCTTTGTAATAAGCTGTTGGATTATATTCATAGAATACAAAGAATAATGATTTCTTTATTGTACTTGTATCTGCGCTATTATAAGCGAACTGTGCAAGAGGCAACAGATTAATTCAATTGTTCTATTCCTGGTTGATATAGTATCAAAGATACTGTTTAACAATCTGATTCATTTTTTCTATCTATTTATCTGTTTGCAGGTGAAATGCTGTGGATATTCTATAGTGTGTTCCAAGCTATTTTATGAGCAAAATCCAAAACTTTAAGTTGAACTTTCTGTTTCTATTGGAGATTACTTCTTCTAATATGCTATAGTTAGCGATAATTGTTCTAAGGAATGTATATATGAGTTCCTCTGCTATACTGCTTTTCTTATAGGAGAGAAAGTAAGTATATTTGCTTAGTTTGCAAATTACTACTAGAATGCTATTGTATTGCATCTTAGTTAAGAGTTCTCATAAGAGAAATAGCTTAGTAATGAAGTTTAGACTGATAGATTGCCAAATAATTGTAAATACTGATAAGGGGTGCAGTAGTTCATAAGGCTTGTATCTTTCTGCCTTATTCTTCTTATAGCTGTTGCATTGTTATAGAATATTCTCAATCCTTTTCCTAAGACCTGGTAGATTTCAGTGTCTCTTAATGCATTTGTGAATTGCTCTAACTCCCTGATGCTTATATGCTAGTGCACTGTATATATTCTTAATATAGTTATCTTGTTCATCTGGAATCATTAATTCTGAATCCTTTTCTAAGGATTCAATTCTGAGAGCAACGTTTAGTTTCCTATATGCATTAACGAGATTTCCTGATTTATCTTGAGCAAAGATGTTCTGTATATCCGAGGAATCTGTATCTCAATGATCTGATCTTCTGCTGAGAGCATCTGCTCATCCGTTTTCCAAGCTTTTGCAGTGCATAATCTTGAAGTCGAACTGTAAGAGAAATTCTGCCCATCTAACTTATTGTTTGTTCAAAACCTTGATCATTATGAATATAGTCAGATTCTTGTAATCTGAATAAACTATGATCGGGTATTGTATGCTAATGAGATAGTGTTGCTACTTTTCGAAGGCTTTCACTATTGCTATAAGTTCCTAATCAGAGATTCTGTAATTGATTTCTAAGCTATTTAACTTCTTTGAGAAGTTGCTTATAATCCTTAAACGTTCTTGGTCGTCTCGCTAGCCAAGTTGTTCTTCTAATACATATTCCGATGCATCAGTTTCAATTTCAAAGGATTTATAGGGATCTGCTTTATACAGAACTGATTCTGAGATAACATGCCTGATAATCTCGTTGAAAGCTTCTCGTACCTTGAGAGTTCATTCGAAAGATTGTTCTTTTTTGGTAAGATTTGTAAGAGGATGTACGATTCAGCTATAGTTCTTGATGAACTGCTTGTAGAAGTTGATATATCTGAGAAAGAATCTAATATTTCTAATGTTCCTAGGGATTGGCTAATTTCTAATAGCTTCTATCTTATTTTTCTGTAGCTTGATGCATCCTAGCTTGATTGTGAATCCGAGATAATTGATTTTTTGTACGTAAAAATGATTCTTTGCAGGTTCTACAAGGAGTTTTGCATTCTGAAGCGTTTGCAATACTGTTTTCACATATTTCTTGTATTCTTTCAATATTTGAGAGTAAATAAGGATGTTATCAAGATAGACAATAATGAACTGATTCAGATGCTTGCATAGAATGTAATTGATCATTTCCTAGAATAAAGCTGAAGCGTTTGTTAGATCAAAGAGCATAATCAAATATTCGTAGTATTTATAGCATATTCTGAAAGCAGTTTTCTATTCTTCTCCTTCCTTTACTCTGATTAGGTTATAAGCTTCTTTTAGATTCAGAACTGTGAACTATTGTGCTTCTTGCAATCTATCTTGTAGTTCCTTGATGAGTAATAACGAATATTAGTTCTTGATTGTAATATCGTTGAATTGCTTGTAATCAATGCATAGCCTAAGCTTGCTGTTTTTCTTAGGTATAAACAGGATGGGATATTCTGCTGGTGATTGCAATAATCGTATATATTCTTTCTTAAGGTTCTCGTTAAGATACTTCCTTAGTGCTTTCAGCTGTATCTTGTTTAGTTCGTAGATAGGGAAGAATTTGGGCTGTTTTCCTTCTTGTAGCGGGATCTCGTAGTTATATAAGCTGTATTCTAGCAATCCTGTATCTAATTCTTTCTGGAATAATTTCTTAAACTTGTAATATTCTCGTAGTATGTTTGCGAGTATTGGTTCTGATTTCTGTACTGTTTCTGCTATCTGGAGGAACAGTAGGTATTGCTAAGCGTACTTCTTTTCGTTCGTTATTTTTGGTAACGTTTTTGAGAGCCTTGAGCGTTCGCTCTAGGCTGGACTGAGCGCTCAAGGGCCTGATTTTGAAGTTTTTCCTGTATAGATTCACAATCCACATTCTGAAGCTTTTCCTTATTGCTCCGAAGCTAACTAACTTGCTGAGGGTCTCGCTTCTGTTGTTTTGCTAACCTGTTGGCGCCCTAGCACTATTTGGGTTCGCTGATTACTAGGTTCTTCTTCTTAAACTGCCAGCCCTGCTGACTTGAAGGTATGTGAGAAGTTGTGTGAAGCTTCTTTTCCTGAGTGTTTTTCAATCACTAGCTTCAATCCTGCGCTGTTGATTGTAACTATCTCCCTAGATACAGCTTGTTCCCATGAGATCTAGCCAGTAGTCTAATCAATTCGAGAATTATGCTCCTTAAGCTATAGAAGCTTCATAATCAGTTCATGCTATGCTATATCTGTAATATCGAAGAAAGCTCTGATTATATATTCTTGAATCAAAACAGGTAGATAATCAGTCTTCTTATCGATTACTTCTTAGTTGTATGCAACAGATTATTCTTTTACAGTACTAAGAATATATGAATATCTCTTTCATTTCCATTATAATTATGCCTGATTGATAATGTATGGAAATATAAAGTTTCTCTGAGCGCCACTGTTCAATAATGCACTATACTTGTGTCCTTGAATGTATATATTGAACTTGATGTGAGTATAATCTATCCTGAAAGCTTTACATAGGAACTGTTCCAGTCTGATCATCTGCAGTTCCTTTATAAATAATCCTATTCTTTTGAATTCGTTAAGAACTATCTGTTCTTCTGAGCCTGCTTTGCTGCTTCTTAAGCAAGCTTCTTAGCTTGCTTTTGCTCATATTATCATTATTTCTAGTTTTTCTTCTATTAATACTAGTTGCAAACCTTATCATTGATATAAATCATACAGAATATTGTTTTGCACTGCTACTATTTTATTTCCTTGTTTATGCATTGTATAAGATAGTTATCTGATAGTTCGATGTATGTATTGTAATGCTGCCTATTGAAAACTTTTCTGAAGCAGAGTTCCTGTTCTTTAATAGCTTAAAGAATTTGTTCTGATTCTCTAATGGAGAACTATTCGTATTGCATCTTGTCTAAGAAATGCATTCTGCAGTTATGATAGATGCAGGAGATCCAAGCTAGTTCGTAGTATAGATTGTGAAGTAAGCTAATCCGAGAATTCTCATCTTCTTATGCCTCAATATTTTGCAAGGAGATGCAGATAAAGAGCTCTTCCAGCTCTATTCTGTAAACGAGATATTCGATTCATATTGTTTCCTTGTTCTACTCAATGCTGAAGAGGAATCTTTCTATAAGCTTCTTGAATTCATTGTTTACAGAAAGCTCCGGTGAATTATTAGATTGATTATTCTAGCTTGATCTTTCTGTTGCTTGAGAAGCGTTCTCTATATTGCTTAGATATTCATACTAGTAGCTAAGAGAATATTATCTCTTATTCATATTCCTAATCATAGTGCTTGGTATAAGCAATGAAGAACATTAAAGGATCTCATTGCTAAGCTCTTCTTCCAATACCTGGATGCTCTGTTCCATGATATCAGAGTAGTTCGAGTTGCTATTTGTAGGAATGCTGAGCATGCACTCTCATTCTGCTATTGCTATTTATCTGCAGCGCTTAGATTTCTAAGAGAACCATTCTAAACCTTTCTTACTCAAGAGATATATTAAGCAGTTATTATTATAGCAGAATATTCAGCTAAGACTTCTATAATCAATAGAATTCAATACTTGCTCCGAGAGAGTATTTTTGCTCAGTTGATTAAGTTTCTATTATCGAGCAACATTCATCTAGCATTCTTCCTGAACTGATTGCTATTTATTCTTCCGGGATTGATAGCAGTTGTATGCAATATATCCTTATTTGTTGTAGTTATAGCAAGTAATGCTATTCCTTTTGCTATACTGCTTGTTAGCAGCATCGAGTTTTATGAAACCAGCATATATAATGCTGCTCTAAGCTATACTGCCCTATTGTCTGCTGTTCTTGTATTGAAATTTCTTATCCATATTAGCTAAAAATCTCCAAATCTAGCTTCTTCCCTTCTTAAACTTCTCTATTCATTATTCATATAGATAGTTATCAATGCAGATAGCTTGATTAAAGAACATTACAAAATTCTCTAGCTAATTCTGCTTGAAGATCTTGTTCTTAACATCATCTTTAAATCCCTTATAATAGTATTCCATGAGATTCTTATCTTCCTACGGAAGTTTTGCTGAGAATTGCTTGAATCTGATTATATAAGCAGAAGCTGATTTAGTTTATCTGAGATCTATAAGCTGCTAAGCTATAATACATTCTTCATTAGAATTACCAAAGATCTTCTTAAGAGCCTTCTCAAAGCTTTCAAAAGAATCAAACATATTCTTAGTACTCTGAGTATGTACATTGGAATTGTTCTGATGCTCCAAGTGGTTGCACAGAGAAAGCTTGTACCAAATGAGAGCATCTTTTTCGAAGCGAGTTCCTGCAAGAATAATCTTCTCAGACTTCTTGGTAAACTAGTTCTTATAATACAGAAAATATGCTCTGCAGTAAGTAAGGAATCCATATAGCGTTTTCTGATTGCTATCATATATAGCAAGCTTATCCATCTTGTACGCCTTTCCAGCACCATTGGTAGCTGTAGAGGTAGACTGCGCCTATTGAGCCTGTTGAGCTAGCTGGGCCTATTAGTTAGCAATAGTAGCGCTTTAGGCCTGCTATTGTTCGCACAGATCCTGGATACGCTGAATAAGCTAGTACATCTGGTTAACCAGTTCTTCCTGAGTAGGAGCGCGTAAGAATGAAGGAGTTCCTGGAGGAGCTATCGTATTCCGTATTGCTCAAGAGATAACACTGAACCGTTCTTGAACAAGAGTTGTCAAAATGTAATGAGCACTGCAGCAATCCGAAGATTCCTAAGTACACGAAGAGGTTTATGCTAACAAGAGCGGTGCTAAAGTATCAAGTCCTTGAATACGGAACCGTACAAGTTCTAATAAGCAATGCAAGTATTCACTGCCTTTAGAGCTACTCAGTATAGAAAACTGAATACTTAGATTAATAACTGAAGAGCTATATACTGAATCTATCTAATGATAATGAACGTATCCTTATATATCCAGCTCTTCATTGTGGATATGTTGGATAGCAACATATTCAAGTTATCCTGCTAGCTCTGGATAGCACATATTCGAAGCTATTCTTCCTGATTGGCTGTATTCATAACCCTAACCCTGGGTTATGTAATCAATGCTTTGTCAGGATATTGAGTCCTTGACACCTAGTCCCTGTTACGCATAACCTGTTCTGTGACCTGCATGTTGGATGAGTCATAACATACAATCAAAAATCGATATTCGTTGTTGCTTATTAAGGAATTATGAGATAGGCTATAAGGAGTACAATGGTTTACAGTTTTAGATTTAAAAGAAGCTTATAATCTGATCAGAGTAAAGAAAGGAAAAGAATAGAAAACTGCTTTCAGAACATGCTACGAATACTATGAATATTTGATTATGCTCTTTAATTTAATGAATGCTCCAGCTTTGTTTCAGGAAATGATTAATTATATTTTATGCAAGCACCTGAATTAGTTTATTATTGCCTATCTCGATAATATTCTTATCTACTCTTGAATATTGGAAGAATACAGGAAATATGTGGAAATAGTATTGCAAATGCTTCAGAATGCAAAGCTTCTTGTAAAGCTTACAAAAAGCTACTTTTATATACAAAAAGTCAACTATCTCGGATTCATAATCAAGCTAGGATGTATCAAGCTACAGAAGAATAAAGTAGAAGCTATTAGGAATTAGCCAGTTTCCAGAAACATCAGAGATGTTAGATCTTTTCTTGAATACATTAACTTCTACAAACAGTTCATTAGGAACTACAGTTGGATTGCACATCCTCTTACAAATCTTACTAAAAAGGAGCAGCTCTTCGAATGAATCTTCAAAGCATAAGAAGCTTTTGATGAAATTATTAAGCATATTATCTCAGAGCCAATTCTGTATAAAGTAGATCTCTATAAACTCTTTAAAGTTGAGACTAATGCATCAGGATATGCATTCGGAGAACAACTTAGCTAGCGAGATGATTAAGAGCATCTAAGAATTGTAAGCAACTTCTCAAAGAAGTTGAATAGCTCGGAAATCAACTACGGAATCTCTAATCAGAAACTTATGATAATAGTAAAAGCTTTTGAGAAATAGCAATACTATCTCATTAGCGCACAATACTCTATTATAGTTCATTTGAATTACAAGAATCTAACTATGTTTATAATAATTAAGGTTTTGAATAAGCAATAAGTTAGATAGGCAGAATTTCTCTTATAGTTCAACTTCAAGATTGTATACTGCAAAAGCTTGGAGAATGGATGAGCAGATGCTCTCAGCAGAAGATTAAATTATTGAGATGAAAACTCTTTGAATATATAGAATATCTTTGCTCAAGATGAATCGGGAAATCTTGTTAATGTATATAGGGAACTGAACGCTGCTCTTAGGATCGGATTCTCGGAAAGAGATTCAGAATTAATGATTCCGGATGAACAAAATAACTATATCAAGGATGTATATAGTATACTAGCATATAAGCATCAGGAAGTTAGAGTAATCTATGAATGCATCAAAAGATACTGGAACTTATCAGGTCTTAGGAAAAGGATTGAAAGCATTCTATAATGATGCAATAGCTGCAAGAAGAATAAAGCAGAAAGATATAAGCTTTACAAACTACTGTATTTCTTACCAGTATTTACGACTGTTTAGCAATTCATTAGTCTAAACTTTATTACTAAGCTATTTCTCTTATAAGAACTCTTAATTAAGATGCAATACAATAGCATTCTAGTAGTGATTTGCAGACTGAGCAAGTATGCTTATTTTCTTCTCTATAAGAAAAGCAGTATAGTAGAGGAATTTGCATATATATTCCTTAGAATGATTATTGCTAACTATAGCACGCTAGAAGAAGTAATCTCCAATAGAGATAGAAAGTTTAATTTGAAGTTTTAAACTTTACTTATAAAACAGCTCAGAATATATTACAAAATATTTATAGCATTTCACTTACAAATAAATGAATAGATAGAAAGAATGAATCAAGTTGTTAAATAGTATCTACAATACTATATTAATTAGAAACAGAATAACTGAGTTAATCTGTTGCTTCTTGCATAGTTTGCTTATAATAATGCAGATATAAGCATAATAAAGAAATTGCTATTCTTTATATTCTACAGATATAATCTAATAGCTTACTATAAAGCATTACTAGAAGCAGATATAGAAGCTGCAGATAAAAGAATTAAGAAGATTAAGAAAGTTTAGAAGGAATTCCGATCAGAACTATAATTCATTCAGAAACGAATAATATGATATGCAAACTCCAAAAGAATTGAGAAACCAATCCTACAGAAGGAAGATAAGATCTACCTACTTCAGAAAAACATCAAAACAATCAGATCTAGCAACAAACTCGATTATAAGAAGTTAGGATTATTCAAAATCTTGCAATAGATTTCTCCGGTTAATTACGAATTAGCATTACCTTATGGAATGAGGATACACTCAGTTTTCCATATCTTACTGCTGAAATCAGCAGCATAGGAAATACTAACAAACAATATAGCAGAAGTGGAAAATAATGAATTAGAGTATGAGGTGGAAAAGATTCTCAAGCATAGAAGTATAGATAATATAAGGGAATATCTTATCAAGTGGAAAAGTTATTCAGCAAGCGAAAATTCATGGGAATCATAGAAGAATGTTAAGAATGCTTAGGAAAGAGTAGCTGAGTATTGAAAAAGGAAGGAAACCAGTATTTAAGACGATCGCTCCGCCCCGAACCGAGACCCAGAAGCCTCGAGAATCTTACTCTCCAGAAAGCCCGACTAATCTACCACAGAATTCCCCAGATTTACAGAATTCCAATCAAAACCCTCAAAAGAAGAATCTCCAGCTACAACAGCAGATTCCTCAGCTATCACAGCTTGCACTTCAGCAGCAACACGGATCCTCTCAGCCTCAGCTTCCTCAGCCTCCTCTTTCTCAAGCTCTTCGAGGTTCTTGAGATCTCAACGAATAGCTCGAGACATCCTCTTACGCCACATCTTCTTTTGTTAACGCAGTTGAAGCAACTTCAACTCCAACTCTTCTATCTCATCCTCCAGCTTTCGATGCTGAGTAGAGATAAGGAGGAGTTCGGCAGCATTCGTCAGCTCCAGAACGTCGCACTTGGCGCGATTCTGGGAAACGCACTCCGAGCAACGGGATGAATTGTGAGGAGAAATGATGCACGATTGCAGTTCTCGACTGTTGCAATAAGAACAGGGATGCATATTGAAACTGTTTGAAAGAATGGACTGAAGAAGGAGATCTTTCTGCTTCCTTTTGTCAGAGCGAGGATTCGAGGATTTCGGTTTCGCAACTTTGTTGATTCTGTTCGGCATCTCGATTAGGAAGGCAAGATCATGAACACGGAGACTTGCCAGGATACTTACAAAAGATCGTTGAGGATAACGATTGATAGGAGGGAGATGATGTTATAATCTATCCAACATGCAGGTTACAGAACAGGTCACAAGTAACAGGGATCAGGTGTTAAGAACTCAACATCCTGACAAAGCATTGATTACATAACCCAGGGTTAGGGTTGTAAAGGAGGAAGGATCGTTGGGCTCGCTAGCGATCCCAACGAGCTTCATACCTTGGATTGCTAGACTCGCCAGCAATCCCGATGAGCTATACTGAAGAGCTGGATATATAAGAACACAGCTATTACCATTAGACGGATTCAGTATATAGCTCTTCAGTTGTCAATCTAAGTATTCAGTCTTCTATACTGAGTAGCCCCAAAAGCAGTGAATACTTGCATCGCTTATTGAGACTTGTACGGTTCCGTATTCAAGGACTTGACACTTTGACACCGCTCTTGTTAGCATAAACCCCTTCGTGTACTTAGGAATCTTCGGATTGCTGCAGTGCTCATTACACTTGCCTATAGCTCAGCTTGGATAGAGCCACTGCTTGAAGATATAGTAGAAAGGAATAGCATTGCTAGCAGCGCTGCTACAGCTAATAAGAGTTATCGATTCTCTGTTATTGAAGTTGTATATCTTCTTTCTAGCCTTCCGCTCTGTAGCTATGATGATGCATCAAATATAGCCAGATAGAATGCTGATACGATTGCTACATTTATCAGCATTCCAAATGCCTAAGGGTCTCAGGCTGTATGAAGCAATAGTAGCTTTATATCTCTTGAAAAAGCTCTTCAGATTGTTCATTGCAACCTCAAAACCTTGTCAGGATGCTTCCACAGGCTTGATATATACATTGTCAAGCTCTGAATGCCTCATCAGCTATTGCTATATGAAATGAGAGCTGACTAGTCTTACTTAATGCATTGCATGCATATTGTTGGCAGCATTAACAAGCATATCCTTGAGAGAAGGAAAGCAACTGATATTAAGCCTCATTATATATCTGACGAGGGCTTTATCTTTCCAGGGCTTAAGAGCTAGTGGATAGCCTCGAGGTTTCGTTGAGTAGGCAGGAAGGCCTTTCTGATGCAATGCTGCAACGTGCTTTCTCAGCTCTGATTCGCTATATAGTATACCCTTAGCAAAAGATCGTAGAGAGGTTCTTGAGAGCTTGAGGGGCTTTGGATCTTCTCGTAGGCCTTGTAGTGGGCGATTGCGCCCTCGATGCATCTGCCACGCATTGAGGGCGATCTTGAATGTCTCGTAGGCGATATCTTCTTGGGCTTGAATGGCTACGAAACTGCTGGCAGCTTCTGCGCACGATTGAAAAGAGTCAGATTCGGCTCTGGGGGAGGAAAAGGAAGCTATCGCGATGGTTGTTAAGGAAAAAAGGATGAGGGAGGGTGTGTGTGTGTGTGGTCGGGATCACGGGATCGAAATGCGCACTATTTTTAGCTGCGCACGATTTTGGCACCCACTACCGGAGGAACGGAGGTAGTGGGCCAGGAGGGCTAGTGCCCACGAGTAGGTAGTTTGCAGCATCCTTATTAATTATCAGGTGCTTCTGATTATCCTTGTCAATCGGGTGGTTTCGATTATCCCTGTCAAAGATCGGGTAGTTTTCACTATCCTTGTCAATCGGGTGGTTTCGATTATCCCTGTCAAAGATCGGGTAGTTTTCACTATCCTTGTCAATCGGGTGGTTTCGATTATCCCTGTCAAAGATCGGGTGGTTTTCACTATCCTTGTCAATCGGGTGGTTTCGATTATCCCTGTTAAAGATCGGGTGGTTTTCACTATCCTTGTCAATCGGGTGGTTCTCATCATCCTTGTCAGCGGGTGGTTTCGATTATCCCTGCTCTAGACTAGGTAGTTTGCAGCATCCTTGTTAATTATCAGGTGCTTCTGATTATCCTTGTCAGTTGGGTAGGTTTCAATATTCTTGTCTAGCTAGCAGTTTCCATTATTCTTGTCAGTCGAGTTTCAATCTTCTCATCAGAGATCAGATAGTATTAACATTCTTGGGATCTACTAGATCTGCCTTAGCATTCTGTCATGATAGCTAGTGTAGTGGGTCTCAGAATGAGATGTAGTAGGTCCTGGGTTAGTGTTACAATAGTGGAAGCTGAGCGACGGCGAGCTCTGGCGCAGGCGGGACCTGGTGGAAGCCGCGCGGCAGGAGAAGGACGGCCTTGAGAAGGTGCGCGCGAGCATCGGCAGCGCGGCGGGAGGGAAGATCTACGAGTCCGTTTTCAGATCCCCAGATCCTCGCACTAAGAATCTATAGATCTGTCCTCAGATCTTCAGATCCATATTGAAGAGCTGGATATATAACCGCCTATTCATGACCAAGAGATAGATACTCACGTCGTTCTTCAGTCGTCAATCTAAGTATTAGAGCACCCATATTCTGATAGCTCCAAAGATAGTAAATACTACAGCGCATCCCTTACAATTCTTTCCTTTAAGATGAAGGCTTATTGTGATGAAGGCTGCAGTATCGAATGATCTTGAAGTATCCGTAGGGTTTATGCCAACAAGAGCGGTGCTAGTGTAGGCCATAAATACGGAAACAATTGTATAACTGAGGGTTCTTGCAATGTTCACTGACAGCGTTTCACGCAAGTCAAGCGGAATCAAGTCGCTTGACAAGCGAAGTTGACGGTTTCGACGTCCTGTTCAAGCTAAATAAGCGGCATATTTAAGCAAATGTCTTGCAAGCGAACAAGTAAGTTGCCCAAGTTCTATTGTGAATACTTATAGCCTCAGTTTAGCTGTTAAGTCGGAGGGGGTAACCTCCGGCCACCGTAACTTCCGGCCACCCCGGTCCGCTCCCAGCCACCTTCAACCCCCCTCTTTTTGTATTATCTTTTCTCAATCAATTCTATTCTAATCAACTTCATATCTTCATCAAGCCTGTATACAGTTATTATGAAGCCCTATACCGAATTTGAGCTAGCTCAGGTCCTCGAGGCTATCAGAAGGAGTATGTCTCAGCGATAAGCCTCGAAAAATTGAGGCATACCAAGAGCTACTCTTCAGGATCGCTTAGCAGGAGGAGAATCGCATTCAACAGCATATAAATATAAGCAAAGGCTTCCTATCAGCCAGAAAAGGAAGATAGCTGAATGTATCCGCATTCAGAAAGCTCTAGAGCTTCCATCAAGCTACTCAGAGAAGAGGAATGTATATAAAACAATATATATATGGGTGGTTGGTGTGGCGGGCCGGGGTGGCCGGAAGTTACGGTGGCCGGAGGATACCCCCTCCGACTTAACGCTTGGTTACCTAATCCTGCCGCGGGCCTTTATGGCATATATCCCCGTAGAAAAGGGCCCCTTGATAGTTTGTAGATCTTGTTGAGGCGGCCTAAGCGGAGCTCGCCGTTGATGAGGCGTGAATCGACTTTCCGGTCGGTGTCGTCTACTTGGAGGACCTGCTGGACAAGCGTCCTCCAGCCCTGCCAATCAACCTCTTCAGGGAGCAGGTGCTTGCTCTTGGCGATGAAGAAGTAGCTCTCGTGGCCAATCAGGGCTGTATACGAATACAGGAGGCCAAGAGCCCACGCCCGGAGTCCGTGTCTGTAGGGAAGAATACCTGGTGGACCGCTGGGGTTCGCGTCTTCTGGGCATAGGCAGGGACATTCCTGCGAGGAGGCGAGGTGGTCTGTCCAGAAAGAAGGCTCGAGGAGAAAGCGCGGGATCGGCTTGAGGAAGATCCGGCCGGCCGTCCAGACCAAGTGCAGATCCATGCGCTCCGCGAGGAAAATGTCTTGGCCAAGGATTAGCTGGTGATGGAGTGAGCGGGCTGGTATGGGCCAACCTGCTACCCATAGCCAGACCGAAATAGTTCGTGACGAGATAGAGAGTAGTGGTAGCTAAAGAGTAACTAAGCCGGCGGTAATCAAAGTAATCCATCCGGTGCTTCATATACTAATATATAAAGAGATGACTTCTTAGACGCTATATTTATATGGTAAAAGTAAAGACGCTGAACGTATTATCTATGCTGCTTATCATAATCGTCGAATTGACTTGCAATTCTCATGCTACTTGCCAGCTTGTTAACGAAGACCTGCTACTTTGAGATATACTTTCCTATACACCGCTTCGCGCAGCTCTGGACAGTTCGGCTCACACCCCGCTTAATGAATCAATATTGATAGAATTAACAGACACGCGATTCTCTATCTATAGGGTCAAGGACACGGTAACCCAGCTCTGGCGGCTCGTAATGGTAGGCTGGCGAGAATTCTACCAAGCTGCAAGCTCCTATACCTTTATCGTACATTCCGGAGCCGACCGCCGCTGGTCGACTGCGGAAGCGATCGAGATCCTTAGAACCAACTACATACATATGGCCACAAGACTGCCCAATCAACCACACGAGTATACCGGATATGGAGGACGGCAAGGCCATATTAGAGCGAGTGTCCGATCAGAACCATATCCTAGATAACATGCTTAAACAGCTCGGCTGTCGCGGTCTGCCACCCGTCGGTAGTCAAGCCTTGGGCGCGTGCCATTGTAATAACTTATGAACGAGGACCTCCGAACGTGCACCCCGAGATAGTCCCACTATTAGCTCCTAGTTGAAAGCCCGAGTCATTGTTTCCAAACGTCACTTCTGTTGTTTGTTTTCGTTCCTCTTCCGCTATCCTCTTCGCTTCATCTTGCGTCTTTCTTTTTAGGCCCTCTAATAACTCCAGCAGCATATATAGCATGGCGCGTTCTTCACCTATCGTGCGTCGCATACCAGCCTCGTCTTTGTATGTGTCTTCAGTACCACTGGTATTTCCACGTTCAATGTCGGTGGGGTTTAGCTGGTTGGACTGTTTATCCAGCATAGAGAGCTGCTGATTGGTGCTGGTGATTGCATTAGCGATATCTTTCTCCTTTGCGGCGATAGTGGTCTTTGATTCCCCGGTGAGACGCTGGCCACGAATCGAGCTGTGCCTGGACAAACGATCAGAAGCTGCTAGCATACCACTTTTCCTTGGAATAGAACAAAAAGAAAGAAGAAGAAGAAGACGCTTACAATATAGCTGTGCTAACGACCAGATTGAGAGTTGTCCGATATTTCTGTAGCTGGTCGGACATGGCTTTGATCTGGTTCTGTCGGAAAAGGTCTAAGCTGGCTCGATCCCTCCACGAGATGTCACCCTCATTAGAATGACGGGTCCACCGTTGCAAGTCGGTCCTGAACTCGGTGCAAGACTTCGTGCAAGAAGTGATGGCATTCTTCGACTGCTCGACCACGGTTGCGCCTAGTGCGGCCCACTGCGGAGGACTAACTGTTTCGAGTGACGCCAGCGTCGCTTCAACAAAGCGAATATTCTAAGTAAGACTTTCCATAGTGGATGGCGCCTCCGAGATCTTTTGGAGGTCGTCCAGTAGGAGTCTTGTCGCATGAAGCGCAGGGACAATGATGCCGAACGCCCCTGCTGCAATGCTGAAAGGATCGGCCATGCTTGGTCTAGATGGTGCCTAGATCGATTTGAGACGACGAAGGTAGATGCGGGTTGTGTGATCTTTGGGTATTCTGCCGCTTAATAGGTGCTGTAAGCAACGCCGCCGGAACCCGGCTTATATTACGTGTATGCATACCTTTCGCAGCAAGCCTCGAAGGTAGTTTATCCACTCTGACTGTTAATCCGAACAATCTTACCAATCCCAATATAATCGATCGCGAATTAATTACTACTATGGCCTAGCAAACCACCATAATAAAGTTTGGAGATGGGAACTATGGGTCTCAAGTGGGATTAAACACCGGAACGGTCACGAACGAGTTCCACCTGCCACCAGGTAAGATCAAATCCTAAACTACCTCCCGCACAAGCTAACCAACGTTATTAGAACAGCCAGAACCACCGCCGAAACCATCGTGTACGATCCCCTTTTGTCGCAACCCCGATTTCATCAACCGCTAGACCCTCCTCGACCAGATATACCGCGCCTGCTCGAGACCAGCTTCCCGCGCTGCGCTTGTGGGGCTGGGCGGGAAAGGCAAGTCGCAACTCGCTATTAAGTACTGCTATCGGTGAAGGCCAAGGAAGGGCTCTCTGGGCATATCTGCCGCCAAGCCCCCACGGATCGATCCTGATCACAACGAGGACCAAAAAGGTTGCTAGAAGGCTAACAGGCGACTATAAGAACATCATCAAAGTTCCACCAATGGACAAGGGCCACGCACTTGCATTGCTCATGAGAAAGACCGGCAGCCAGCCCGATATAGAGAATGGCGCGGCGCTGGTGGAGGCCCTTGAATATATGCCTCTGGCCATCAGTCAGGCTGCGGCATATATACAACAGCGGGCACCGCGAACTTCCATCGGGAAGTATTTAGAAGAGTTCCGGAAGAGTGAGCGACAGAAGGTCAGCCTTTTGAACTGGGACGAGGAGAGCCTACGGCGAGACTGCAACGCATCGAATTCGGTGATTCAAACTTGGCAGATCTCGTTTGATGCTATCCGATCAGAGCAGCCATCAGCAGCTGATCTGCTCTCGCTGATGAGTTTTTTCGACCGCCAGGGAATCCCAGAATCGCTGGTGCGGCCGCCTGCCAATATTGTGAGTCAGGACAGCAACGCAAACGAGTGCGAAGGCGATATGAGCCAAGATAGCGAGAGTGAAGACGATGACGACAGCGATGCTTCCAGTGCTAGCGACGCCTCCGAGGACCCAGCTGCGCAGCGCTTTGAAGATAACCTAGCGATGCTTCGAAACTACTGCCTCATATCCTTAAACAAGACAGGGGACGTCTTTGAGATGCACAACCTTGTGCAACTAGCTACGAGGAAATGGCTAAGCGTCTATGAAAGAACAGAGATGTTTAAGGAACAATTCATCAGTCGGATAGCGCACGAATTTCCAACAGGAGATTATAGCAACTGGGCCACCTGTCAAACGCTATTTGCACATGTGGAAGGGGCAATTCATCACCGTCCGAAAGGTGAAAAGCAGCTAGAGGAGTGGGCGCAGGTCCTGTACAATGGCAGCTGGTATGCACGGGGGCAAGGTAGATACAGCTTGGCGGAGACAATGGCTAAAAAGTCGCGGGATGCTAGGATAGAGACACTGGGAGATCAGCATGAACTAACTTGGCATAGTATATCAATGGTTGGCACAATCTTTCGGGATCAAGGGAGATATAAGAAAGCCGAGAAGCTGGATGTGGAAGTGATGGAGATGAGCAAGCAGAAACTCGGGCCTGCCCATCTAGACACGCTTACTAGCATGGCTAGCCTAGCTTTCACCTGGCACTCGCAAGAAAGCACTGCTAATGCTATCGACTTGATGAATTCGTGCGTCCAACTCCGCCGTCAAGTATTAGGACCGGAGCATCCAGACACCTCTTCGTCCATTAAAACCTTAAACACTTGGCGTGCCGAGTAAGTAACCATACTCAAGTATTCCCGCCCGTAACGCGTTCCGTCCCGGAGATTCTGCCACAATCCGCCATACAAACCGGTGCGGGTGGCTCATGCTTTAATGCTGAATCGGTTGACGCTGGGCCGAGCTGCTAATTGGCTTGCATTTTCTCGGGTAAGTCCCTAAGCATTATTTTGCGATGGTCAAAAACAATTCCTAACCTGACTTTATATTTAGTTTTCTTTCCCCAGCCAGAACAGGGGAATGGATTGTTTTCTCTCCAATTTTCGCCACTCAACATTGCGACTTACGAGAAATCACGCCAGGTGAGGACTCCCATCTCGGCCAGGAGAGCAAGACAGTACTAGGTCAAGGGAACTTCATCCTGCTATGTTTAGAGCCAGAGCGATATTCATCGAAGAGAGTCAGCTGATGAATGTAGCCGTAAGGGCATCGCTAGATCATAGCGAGCTAGGGTTTTATATACACGCCTCAACGCTCGCCTTCCCATACTTGAGAACGCGTCTTAGCCTTGTATTAGGATACCGTATTGGTTATCTGTGCGTACAGCTAAGTACGATGCATACACCCTGCACACTTGCTACAGAACCATTGCTCCTTTTGCCGTATTTGGTAAATACACGAATTGCTTTTGAGAAGCCCTATTCTCTATAGTATAAATTCTAGGGGCATAGTATACGGAATACTCACGTCCTTCCTTCTATTTTCCTTTCGTTTCGACCTCTCGTTCGGCTTCTAAAATTCGGGCTAATACATTCTCATAAGGCTTTGTTTATTCGCCTAACTTCCCCAGATACTAACGAGTAATGCTGCCCGCCTTTAGCTTTAGCATGTGCGAGAGCTAATCTCTTGCTACCGTGCACCTTACTTACCTTGTGTTACCTTGGGTAAGAGTTATAAACGTGGCGTTTAGATATGGCTTTTCCAACGTACTTTTAAATTCGGTTACTTTTACGAGAGGAAATAACAAGAACGCAAGAACAAGCATAATTTAAGAAAAGAACTTTCCAGCCGCGATTCCCAGTCTCCATCTACCTTTATATGGTGGTCGCTGGCTTTGTCTTGTTAATAACCTTAGCCTTCTGAACGTTCTTTTGTCTTATAAATCCTGTGCTGCCGTAATTATTATGGAATTCTCTGATCTTCGTGACTGTCTCCGTTATGGGTGCCAGACGGATCTTATTCTTGGCCCGGAGAAAATGATCCCGAGCAGTCACGCACCAGGTAACTCTACCGGCCATGAGCTACGATATCTCCGCCGGGCTTCTTCGGTCGTGAAGCTGGTCTGGATTCCCATGCGTTTAATATTTTCTAGCTCGGCGTACCGCGCTGCAGCCGGGACGAACTCGCTCAGAATCCGAGCCCGTGTAATCCGCTGTTGCCCGTGCAAGCTCCGCGAGATCGACATCATCAGCGACGGGCTCGTCTTTCAGATGGATGTCGAGAATAGGCTTGCGAGTAGTAGCATCGGGCAGATCAACCAGAATGCGTGTGCTAAGGCGCCGAAGAATGCCCTCGTCTATGGCGTAGGGACTATTGGTAGCAGCAATGATCATAGGGTTTTTGGCGCCATTGGTCTTGATCCCATCGATCTCGACCCAAGATCGGAGGTGATCGCGAATGATCAATGAACCAAAGAGCTGGATATAAGGATGGACATTTCCTACAGTCAGGATAAATCTCTTGAGCGCTCTTTAGTTGTCAATCTAAGTATTGTTTCCACTCCTACGAAGCAATAGCCCCAAAGGCAGTGAACACTTGCATCGATACTTAAGACTGTGTTTCCTATCTTAATCGGATACTTGGCACCGCTCTAGCTAGCATAAACCCTACGTGTACTTCAGGATCTTCGTGGCACTGCAGTGCTCATTACAAGTAGGTTCCTTTTATTTGTTAGGAATATCCGCGTTCTGCCTATTTCCGTGGCTACTGTTGATTCGTAGCTACAGATCGTATGCCGTCGGCGACGATCTGGTCGCCAGATACTGCAACGGTTGCCGGCTGGCAACCGGGTGCAATCGGGCCGAGATAGATAGCGATAAGGACAAGGCACTTAGCCATGGCAGCCCTTCTGGCTGGCATTGGCGATGGCTTCGTTCTCACGATACATCAACCAACGGAATAAATCTACCTGTTAACCAAGGCAGTACTGCTTCCCTACGTTAAGGTGCAGCCCTAAGACCCTACCAACAATAAAGCTTATTAAGTTAATAAGATATTTAAAAATAAAGATTTATTTTTAAAATTCTATTTCTTATTATATATTCTTTATTTATTAACGGAATATTATAAAAATAGTATTATTATAAAGCTATTTATTTCTAGTATTTTATATGTTTATTTATTGCTTATAATATATATGCTTATAGTCTAAGCCTTTTGTAGTCAATAAGCTGGGATGGTCATCAGTTATACTACAGTTGTGATAGTCAGTGGTTCGTTGATTCTCTCTAACTAGATCTATAGAGAGAATGCCAGTATAAATACTGGCGAGGGCTCCCTTCACCATTGTCTGTCAAGATAAAGGATCGCTGTCTATCTGTTTGCTTCACTGCTTAGTCCATTGCTCACTAGAGTCACTGTCCTTTCATCGCGAGTGAAGAGTGCCAGTCACGGCAAAGGGGCGGACCCCTGTGTGCTTACCACACCTTTACATCTTACTAAACAGCAAACATTATGCTGCAACAAAATTGTAAAGAGCTATAGTGCTACTAGTCGACATCATTTCTAATCTCACGCTATACAGGCGGTGGTGATAGCAGGGACCCGCTTTGCAGGAGGCTTGTCATCCCCTGCTCCTTGGAACCGCCCGAGCTGGGTGGTCCCCGCCTTCTCCTCTTCCTCACCCCGCGCGAGCCGGACGGAGACATGCCGCCGGACCGCCTTAGCCTCGCCGCCGTGCTGCCACCGCCCGGGCCGTGCCCATGGCTGTCCTTACCTCCCCGGGCCCCGGCAGCCGCGGTGCCAGGCCGTGCTGCCGCCCCGGCGACCTGCTCCCAGACCTGCTCCGCCAGAGCCTGCTCAGCCGTCGGGCGGTCGGCGGGGTCCCACGCTAGCATGGAGCGGAGGAGAGCGCCCAGGCCGTCGGGCATGCGGCCCTGCAGGGCTATTACGTGCTCGAGGACGGCGCGGTGGTTCTCGGGGCTGGACATGGGCCCCGTCCAGCCGCGCGGCCCAAAGGTGGCCAGCATGGAGAGCCCCAGGCTAAATATGTCGATGGCGCTAGTGTAGCCCTCGGGCCTCCCGACTTCGGGTGCCGTGAAGTCGGGAGGGCCGAGAGCCGCCAGCTTACCCCTGGTGCCGACCTTGGACTTGCCGTAGTCGCAGATGGCGGCGTGAGGCGGCTGCCGTGAGAAGACCAGCAGGTTCCTGGGGCTAATGTCCCTGTGCATGATGCCCCTGGCGTGCAGGTTCCGGAGCCCCTCCAGCACCTGGCGAAAGAGCGACAGCCTCGTGGCCAGGGGCACGTCCTGCCACGGCATGCCGTCGAAAGACCAAGGCGCGTAAGGCATGACGAGATACACAGTCTCGAAGGCGAACTGGAAACACGGCGGGGACTAGCCGTGCCCGCAACACCAGGACTTGAGAGGCATGAGCCCGACTGTCTGCGCGGGGATCCTGGACGCGATGTCGATCTCGTTGTTCACAACGCCGCTGTCGCAATCGCAGCAGTAGATGATCTTGCAGGCTATCGGATCCCCAGACCTCCTATCCACGCCAGCTATCACAACACCGAAGGCGCCCTTAGAGATGATGTGGTGCAGAACGACATTCCTTATACACTGGTGTTCGGGGCGGGGCAGGACGTCGAGGCGGCCATGCCCTCCTCCTCCTCCTCCCTCTAGATCCCACTGCTGATACCACTTCCGCATGTATTTGTCGCGGGCGGCTGCGTAGGCGCTCTCGTTCTCGACGGCAAGGGTGAGCACAAAGTCCAGCGGGCCAATTCGAAGGTGGTTAGTCGTCATGTGGAGCACGCACGTCTCAGAGTACTGCAGCTCGACATCGGCGTTCCCGTCGGCCTGCAGGTATACGATTGGATGATGTTCATTCGTATTGCGCAGCACAAGAGCGCCGGAGCGCGGGTGGATCGAGATCCTACAGACCGTCGTCCCCTCGAGGAGCTGTGATCTGGTCGAGCCGATGGGTAGGTCGACATATGGAGGTTTCGCCCCTCGCTTCCCGACCACTCAGCCGCCGCCGTGGCCCGAGCCGCCGTTTGTATCCCAGGGAGAGGACGAGCTGGTATCTCGACTGCGCGGCCCGCTCCGTCGATGTTGCTACCGCGGGGTTGATGTGCACGTTGGGGAGCTGTGGGTGCTTCTTGAAAAGGGATGCCAGGCACTTCTGCGCCGCTGCATTCTCAGGCGTCAGCGTTGCGAAGACAAACGGCGCAGGCATGATTGCTGATAGCGATGATGGTGATGATGTCGAATGGCACTATCCCCTCTGCAGCAGGAACGAGGCGGCTAGGGGCCCCACCTGCATATTGAGCTAGTCAGCGACTGCCCCGCACGGGCCAGGCTTGGCTACCACCTCTCTTCCTCTCTTCTGTACTGCATCTCAACCCTTTCCCATACATCATCTCTAAACTTCGGCGCTGCAGGCCTGACAACCTGATCAATTTCCATCATCACCATCAGAATATTACTCATAACATTGCCGTTCCGTCATCATGGAATACTGTTCCGACCAGCGCTCCGACGAGTCGGAGGACGAATACTTTCAGAGGTGGAAGGATGCCCGCGACACTTGGCGCCAGCAGTATGTCGACGCCTACTACAAAGCAAAGGCGGCAGGGCTGCGACAGCTGGCCTCCATCAGCGACGGCCAGTCTCCCAACGACATAGCACACGTAATCATGCTCATCGAACAAGACATCAAGATCGATGCAGGGCTGGCGAGGCCCGAGGACTTCGAGCGACCCAGAACGCCGCCCCTGAGCATCTCCGTCCCTGGCAGGTCCCTCAGCGAGGTCAGCGTGCCGCCCGAGCCCTTCGAGTCCTGGGCAGCCACGCCGCCGCCGCTCCCCTCCCCACCGATCGATGCCACTGCCGATCCGACCTGTGCCCAGCGCGACCCCGTGCCCAAGAGAAAGAGAGACGAGGACGATGAGACACCGGCCAAGAAGAGAAGGATGACACAGACAAGACCAAGCACAACGCGCGGTCAGAGAAAGAGAGGCCGCGAGGAGGAGGAGGAGGAGGTCACACGCGCCACGCGCGCCAGAAAGAGGACGAGGAGGACAGACATGCGCGCGCAGCCAGTAGCATCACCGCCGCCGGCTCGCGCGACGTCGGGCCACAAGAGGAGACGGAGGCCTGATGATGATGATGCCCACGACCACGAGACGCAGGCCTCCCAGAAGCCAGGACGGCAAGGGCCAGGGCCCAAGAGAAGAAGAATCGTCGAGAAGACAAGCAGTGATGGTCGAGGCCACGGCACAGGACAGGCTGCTGCTGTTGCTGCTGCTGCTATAATGTCGTCGTCATCCTCCTCTCGGGTCACCCGCGCACGGCGCCGGCAGCTGTCGGGCACGGATACCCAGCTCCTGCAGCTCGGACAGCACGGCCAGGTCGACGTGCAGGAAGAGCGGCCAGCCAGCACCAGGTTAGAGGCCGGGACTAGGGCCAAGCACAAGATCGACGCCGCCACCAAGGGAAGACGTTGGGCCGGGGCGAGATAGAGTATAAAGTAGGCTCTGAGGGGGTGATCTGCCGTACAGGTCGGGCCTGAAGCCGGAGTGGTGGGCAGCGGGCGAGGGCTGCGTGTGCTGGTCATCCTGACAGGGTTGGGTGCAGCCAGTGATGCTTCGACTTGTCGCTGCGGGCCCAGGGGGCGAGCCTGGCCTCTGATGTTCGTGTACCGGTCATCCTGACAGGGTCGGGTGCAGCCGGCGACGATCATCCGCATGCCTCTAGGTTCTGCTCCTCAGATGCCGGGAGGGTCTCGAACATAGCCTCTTCATCCTTCTGTTGAATATACATCCACATTACCCAACAGGCATACGAGATTGATATCACAGACATAGGATGGTAGAGTGCAGACTAGATATAGCCAGAGTAACCTGTTCCCCAGAGGAGAAGCCCCTCTGAGAGTCCTACAATAGAATGGTGTGCTGTCTTGGCGCGCGTTATAACACAACCCACACATGGTGGCCCGTGCATACACCACCGCCGCGCCAGAACTCTATACCCGTGGGCACTAGCCCTCCTGGCCCACCTACTCCGTTCCTCCGTAGTGGGTGCCAAAAAGGGTGCCCGGCCGGAAAGTGGCCCACCTGGTTCGGAACTCTTTTGTATGGGGCTGCCAGCCAAATCAAGCTGCTATGTCAGTATTTGACTATTGAACTATCGACTTTACAATACCCACGATGTTGAAAGTAAACAAATCCTTGGTGTTTTGTATCTATAGACCGCTAAGCAGAGGCGGTGATGAGGATATATCCTCATCGTCGCCCTTGTCGTCGATATCCTCAGAGCTGTACCAGGCCTCTTCATCCAGGCCATCTTGCCCTGGCTTAGCATCTTGCAATGCTATATTTAACTGTCTATCTGCTTGCAGCAATGCTGGATCAATATCTCGTAGAGGGTGGTCTAGGCCAACCCCTAGGCCAGATATATCGACATCGCTGGAAACAGAAAAAATATACGAAACCGTTCCACTAAATTTGGTATACTACGGCTCTCCGCATGCTCTGGGGAGTACACCAAATTTTTTCGTATATTTAAATCTATAATCCTAGGATGCTCATTCAATTGCCAGCCAGGGAGTGGAACGGTTAAAGAATCAATGGAGTGGGTGCACGGACCTTGGAAATCAATAAGCTAGTCCATATTCGGTTAGCGTATATTGGCGTTCCATGTTACCTCGCAAGCTCATGCTCATTTCATGAATAGCGAGATGGCGAGACAATCCATTCTTTATAAGCATGATGTGCGATCCTAATATCTTTGCAGTGCTGAGCGCGCATGATCGGAAGAACAGGGCAGGCAGTGCCTTTAAGCTAGAGCACAATTCGAAGTGGTTTTGCAAAGCAGCTGGGGGTGTTGCCGCGGAGCCCATCATCAACAGTCGCCAAGCTACGCCCGCAGACACAGAGTCTGACGCCACCGATGAAGCCGGCGCCGTTGACCGCTTGGTTGTGTTCTTTGATAAGCTGCTCACATTGGACAATCTCCAGAACGGACTGCAGCTGGGCACAAACCCGACTTCGTCTCATATTCTTCTAGGATATCGTGGAACTAAGGGAATCAGCGACAAGCAGGTAAGCCAACTACTACCACTACTAGTATATGAATATACAATTGCATATTTTTTATTAATTCGAAGTTAGTGTAATATTACTGTAGACAAGGCCTATCATATCTGGCTGCACGATTATGAATCAACCCACGGCACGGCAGTCGGTCAAAATGGCCAGAACCAAACAGAGGTACGGAGGAAGGAGACGTGGATCCTGGCATACTCCCCTGGCAGTAGGGATGTCTTCGAAGAGAGGACAATCCACTGTGCTAGTCTTGCAATCAAGATAGAGTTTCCAAACCACGAAATGGCACCCTCTCGTTATGTTGAGAACTTACGGGCGTTCGTCAAGAAGTGCCAGGAAGCAGCTGAGAGAAGCGAGGTGGAACCTTCTGGCATCGAGGCGCTTGGCTTGGACAGCCAACCGGCAACTCAAGCACCCAGTGAAGCTCCGACTCCGCGTGAAAGGCTCATATATTATAACATCCAGCAGATTGGAGAAGGTACATTTGGTCGAGTGCATAAACTCATCAAGGCGCGGGACGGGAATGTTTTCGCGGCCAAGACCTTCCACCCTCCGTCCAGCAAGAACAAGAGGCGGTGGCAGGAGCCTGATCCCAAATGGCTCATCAAAATACGAAGAGAATTTAGTCTTATGAGAGATAATCCTCATGTAAGTACATTGCTATAAGTATATCAGCTTTGATAACAATATTAACTTTCCTCTAGCCGAATGTGATACAGGTGTTTGAGCTTCGAGAAACCCCAACGCCCATGATTATTATGGCCTACTTTCACCTTGGAAACATCGCCGATGCGAATATAATTGATAACGATAACTATGTTAGCGCCTTCGGACAGATACTCGATGGCTTGATGCAGCAAGACATCTCCCTGGGCTGACTCGAAGCGCCGTTCCTCCGGGGGCCCGCAAATGCAGCACTGACCGGGGGTAGTGCGGCTTACGTGCTGTGGCTCGGGCTCGGGTTGCTCCAAGCCTTGCCTAATCCAGCGCCCAACACATAGGGTTTTGGACTACGACTCACGAGCACCGAGCAGACCACCCGCCCGCGTGCGGCCACCACGACGCAGCCAATATGGACCTTCAAGTTATTTTCTATCAACCGGACCAACCAGATCGCCCTTTTGAGGAGCCACCTCGCAGGACCCAACCGGCCTCCCAATCAAGGTGGGAAAAACTTGCCGAGCGAGTATGGCGAGACAGAGGCTGCCTGAAGCGTTTGGAGACGAGCAGCATCGTAACGATGCTCCCAAAGGGCCGCAACGATGACGCCTACCAGGCAGCTGTTGAGATGGCAAACAATCCTGGCCCAGGGGAACGGACGATCCAGCATCTTCTCCTCCTCACTCTTTGCGATGTCCTCTTCCTATCGGGCCAGACAGCTTCAGAGGACCTGGACACTATTATCAAGTCGTTTGTGAAGAGCGGACAACCAAAGTACCTGGACAAGCTCAAAAGGGGGGCTAGGACGGCCAATCAAGTGATTGTCGCATGGGCTGGAGGCGGCACAGGGGACGGCACTCTATCCCGCCTGGACCGCGCAACGCAGGCTGTTATGCAAGGTATGCTAGACCACTCACGCAGTCATGTGTAATTACTTTGCTGATCCTTCGCAGCCCGTCTCCCTGTCTCACAGTGGGCAATTTTGAGCGAGTGCAGCGGCAAAGTTACCGAGCACATCGCATCGAAACCCTTACCAGAGATAGTTGGCAGCACAGATTCTCCGCTGCTGATTCCTAATATTTTGTCCTACTTGACGAAGGGCTCTTTGAGGTAGATTCCCGCTGCCTAGTTCCGAAGGGACCAGTTAGTTGATGGCTGACCTGGCAGATTTCAAACTATCTGCCGCTGTCTCAAATACGGTGCCGATCTTGCGCTGTTGGCGGCATCTGTCCCCGAGTACGTTGGAATTCGCGCCTCCGCTGTGGAGACCGTGGACAAAGAGCAGGCGGGGGGGTAATGAGGAAGGCACATAGTCATAAGATCTGCTACATCAGGTCATAAGTGCGACCATGGGACAACGCATGGCTGGATCCGTGCGGCGCAATTTTACCGTATTGCAGGCTGCTGGACGGCAAATTCCGGAACACCTCTGTCCACCAAGCATTGTCCCAAGCTTACGTACCCTCCGTGGGGTTCCGTGTACCTCCTGCTCCTGGAATAGAATGCAGAGGGCTGTGGCGGTGAGAAGTTTGCACGAATTACTAGCACAATCTCACCAACGGAGAATTCAAACTCCTCCCGCCCTGCCTGCCTGGACCAACATACCCAAGCCATGCCATTCCCCTGTGCCATTCGTCCACATCTAAAGACTTAACATGTCTGACGATATCACCCCGTCTGCTATTGCTGCCTTGACTCCACTGTCTGAGCTGGCGGCTCAGTCAATTCAGGTCCATCGTGAAACCTATCAGTGCCTCGATGGTTCCAATTCCTGTTTTCACCTGCTGCACGGCATGGGCCTTCTACCCCCCAACGGCTTTGTATTTGGTACAGAATATGCCGACTTTCTGCTGCCCGAAATGGGCGACGCTAACTATGGGAGAGGCTGTTCTCTCATGATCGTAAACGGGTCTCTTTAGTTTGAAGAAGCAGTACATCAATCTTGTTCGCTTTTCATTACCTCATTTTCACAATAGTTGCCCTTGGGAAACCTACTGGAAACCTCAGAGCGTGGCCCAACCTCTCGGTTCGACTTGAAATGCCTCACGCCTGAGTCCCATACTAGCTTCCAGGTCAGCAGGACCAGAGTGATCCGTCGGGCATGCATGGCCTACTGCCAACCCATGAAAACGGAAAAGCGCGAGTACAAGAAGGCCCCGTGCAAACCCACCGATGCAGCCCGGCCCCATCCCAGCTGCCTGGCAGGCTGCTGGTCACACAGACCAGCTTCTGTGTATCGAAGCACACCAACCTGTTATTTCATTCACTAGAACTTCAAAATGCCTGTCATTATAAGAGATTCAGTCAAACTAGCCTCTGCCGTAAACCTTGGTCATTACCTACAGGTGTATTCCAAGCGTGTCGGCCGGATCTACCGCAAATTGGATGACAGTCACCCATTTTAATCAAAGCTACTGGCGTAGGGTTGGCAGGTGTCAAACATTCTATCTAAAAAAAAAATAAAAAAAAAGCGATTGTACAATACTAGCACCCGTTTTGGTGTCCAACCACAGCGTGAGCACGACATTCCTGGATCTGTCACGAGGAACGGTCAACTTGTGGCAGTGGGAGGTATCGCTGTGTGCGTGCATAGACCCCAAAAGTGCCGAATACATGGACCCGTACAGCATGTTTCCCAGGAGGATTTGCATCGCGCTCATCCTTTCCTCGCCCAATCTTGCTACCGTAAAACTCAAAATCCAAGTCGGAGTGAATGTTCGTCCCGCCCTGTGAGACGTATCGGCGTGAGCCAGAAATCCCGATATCGACTCCATAGATGTTGCCTGCAATGAGGCTGACAGCCTTGGTCGTTGATTGCAACCGCAAAAGAGTAGCAGTGCTCGAGCGAGCCCCCGTCGGCATGTGCCCGTGGCGTGGTTATTATGACCCTGGCAAGGCTCTGCGTTCCAGCTCCTTCATACTCAACGACGGCCCCAAGACGGGGGAATTGACATGAGAATACCTCCAGTGAGGGATTGAAATACACAACTTGATCATTGATCCTTCTAAATTGGGTGCTTGCCCCTAAGCGCCCGCTAGACGACGGCTCCGTCCACGCGGAAACCAGAGGCTCAGCAGTTTGGAAGGCACTGAAGGCGGTATCGACCAGGTTGAATTCGGGGGAGGACTGGACGACATCGAAGTTCCCAGACGCCGGAACCGCAGAATGCTGGCGCACCAATGCCCCCTGGTCCTCGAAGTGAATGTCGTTATAGCTGATGGTGCGGCGAGGATCGTCGATGCTTCCGAACACTGTGATCTCCGTCAGCACTGATCACCCGGAGCTCGGTCATTGAGACCTACAATCTTGAGCTTTACTCGTAAAGTACTCGCGGGTTCTCTGCTCAAGTTTTCCAAGAATCTTGCTGGCCACACGGTGACGTTTCGCTCGGTACCCATTCCGCAGCTTGTATATTGTGTCTATGCAGTTGTTTCGGTTGTAGCGGTGGTATTTTCGCTCCGCTCGCCAGCAAGTCACAGCCAAAGCAAGCCATGGAATCAGACCAGCACTGAGGAATAAGTCCTCAATTGACCCTTTGGGAACGTTTTCATAATAGCGTTTACTTTGAAAACCTGGGGAACCAGACTGCTTGGCTTGAAACTTAAATTTCCATTTGATTGCACATGACTTCGACCATGGAGGGTTTCTCGCGGGGGTTCAAGATCGATTCCATATTGTAGGTAGGTTGTGATGGATCATGGCAAGCTGACAGTGTAAGAAGGAGAGGTTGAGTAGTGAGGAGGTTGGGACGCATAGCATCCGACACAACCTTGGAGGGTGGATCAGGTCTGTGAGCGCCATCTCATTTACACCTTGCAGATGCCAACGCCCCCGAGGTACACCTCAATACCCTCAGGCACTATAGCTTGTCCATCACAAACGTCATGCTTCTCAAAAGGAATCAATGTCTGGCTGGATGAATAGACCCATACATAACAACCTCTCCAGTACACATTTTGTCCTTTTCCAACGATCCACTTGCCTCCTAACTCTGTACCACCTGTGTCTGGTTGCAACTGTTGGGACAAAGGCTCAATAATAAACTTGGTAGCCTACAAGTAAGTCAGAGATGTTCCTAAATGGTACAAAAGAGACTTACCATCCTGTGTAAACGTCCAAGGGGCCTGGGGGTGCTGACAACCTGGTGATTGTCTAAGCATATGTTGGTTGTTGAGGTTTCTCACTGTGCAGCTTTGCGTCAGCTTGAATGATAGCCCATCTTGTTTATGCATATCGGCTATAGAGGGTGGTGGGTCGGCCGCAGTAGAGGATGGTGGATTGGCCGTTGTAGAGGGTGGTGGGTTGGCCGCAGTAGGGCCGTTATAGAGGGTGGTGGGTCGGCCGCAGTAGAGGATGGGGGATTGGCCGTTATAGAGGGTGGTGGGTTGGCCCGATTTAGTAAAATCAACCCGCCTCCTGGAGAAATCAACCCGCCCCCCACCGGCGCTATACCTAAAGTAAACAGCCATCTAAGTGCACAGCCATTTTTCATACTGTGCTAGATATCAAATTACCTGTACTCATCAGCTGCCTGAGTCAGCTCTTGAGAAGCCATCTGCTGCTAGCAATTGTACCAGAGCCAGCTCTGGAGTAGTACATACGAACTGAGTGAAAGGAATCAGTAAAATACATCTCATACATAGAATTTTGTGAGCACATGTCCTGTGCTGGAGATGCGTATGTATGAGATGTTGCAAAATTCAGTTGGCGGTGTGTTACAAGTACAGACCATGTGCTCACATGCAGTGCGCTCGTTGTAAGGCTGCGTGTATGTATGTACGCAGGGATGTCATGAGTGTACTGCATGTTCTCACCAAATATATGTGAGCATATGCAGTGCGCTTGTGTTGAGGCTGCATGCGCAATTTACAAGATCTCTGTTATGGCTTACAGTGTGGGCGCTGTGCGGTATGTTTTGCTAAATACGGCTAGAGCGGTGGGGGGCGGGTTGATTCCTCCAAGAGGCGGGTTGATTTTACCAAGTCGCAAAGCATGATACGGAATGTGCCAGACACAAACTAGCGAAAACGGGGCGCGTAAAATCCGAGGAATGATGATGCCATCGACGCCAATATGTGTCATAGTGTCCACGACGCTCTCCCATCTCACACCCTCAGGCCTATATTTCATGTGTCTGAGTGCCTCACCACTATCACCCTATTCATCATTACTTGCCTGGCAAACCCAATCGACGTTACAGTGCCAAAAGTATTGCATTGCACAATTCGCAGTACGCATTCAGGGCTCGCTGTCTACCCATTGCCAAGCTACAGAATCCGTACATCTCCTCGAGAGCAAGGGCAGTGATAGCACCAGCATTGGTCAATCGTCTGTCTCTAGTCTCAGAACGGAGTTGCGGCGTCTGGGCTCTGGGGCCAACACTGTAATCGCCCTCTTCGGGTTCTTGTCAACGAAGGCAGGGAGAACCGTGTTGTCGCTTCTTGTTCGCGTCAACGCCGTCATCTCCCTCTTCCAGACAACCCGGGGGCAGGGCGGCCTGTGTTGCAGGCAGCCCTGAGTTTGGACAGTTGTCTTTGTTAACTCGATCCAATATGTGCTTCGGCCTCGACTTCGGCATCAATCGACACAGAGTCAAGGCTGCTCTATTTAGTTCTCAGGACACATTGCAGGAGGCGAAGTGGGCAGGACGGACCATGGATACTGGCACGCACCGTCAGTAAAGCACATCATAGCTGCTGCTATGGTGAACTTCCCGAAACAGTGTGAGCTTATTGGAAGCCATACGCCTCGAAACTATCACATTTCCACAGCTCCTTACCTTGTGGGAGAATCATGGTGTGACCCTCGAAGATGAAGCAGCTTCAATCCTTGTAATACTTCCCAGTCCCTCTCTGCAATCGCACTTTGTTTAGTCTCGAAACCTTATTGATAATGATGCAGAAGCTTTTGCTGTTTGACGGAAGCGAAACGGCCCTGTTCGACGAAGAAGGTTTGGCCAAGAAGCTTCGCATCATTGATGACATATTTACCATAGTATCGAAGTACCAGATGAACGGTTTAGAAAGAGGAGTGTTGATGTTTGTGGAATTAATTCGGCAGTGTTCATCGACTTGGCCAAATCCTCTTCCGGATACTTGGTCCTGGCCGTTATCCTCTCCACCGACAGGGGGATGTTCTTCACCTAGAGCCTGGATCGCACCAAGTTCGAGTGAACCTCCGGGAAGAAAGCAAGCATAACGTAAATAGTTGTGTTACAACGTCGCCACCGGGCCTTCCGAGCGCCTCTAGGCCATCGCACTCTGCCTCGCCTCCAAACCCAGCAACCCTTGGCCTTTCCTCTTTCGGCCCCCTGCATCCATCCTAAGAGCCAACGCCAAAGGAACCGAAACCAACAATCGCCCCAACGCCGTCGCAGTGCTCGGATTTTAGAGCGTTCAAACATGCAGGCCGATACACATCCAGCTGCAGCTGTTACAAGGCCATCGCATAAACGATCGAGACGTGCAGGGGACAAATGAAAGCAGACTAGAGCTTGAAGGTAAGGCGATTGACCACAGTTCATTGAAACTTCAAGTCAGGGGCAAATAACTGACTGCCTCTTAAATGCCAGATACATGAGCTGGCCCTCTTTCTCGACACATGACATAAGTGCGCACAAAGTTTGGGATATGCGTTAGGTTGACGGTATATAAATTTTGTGTGTCATACACCTCGGGCTTTGGCCTGTTGGTCATGCAGTCTTTTAAATTGGTCATGCCACCACTGCCAGCGTTCCACGCAAGTCAAGTCAAGTTAAGCGGTAGCCTGTAAATTGACTTGCTAGCAAATTTGGCCGCTTGCTTGTCAAAGTTCAGTCCTCTGCTGACAGCTTCTGCAGCAAAAACTTATGGCCCGTCCCTTGGTGAACACAAACATAATCATGACTAGTCTTTCAGATGTATCCGGTGTCGAAAGACTAGTTACAGTTATATCTAGCCATTTCGAACTTACCAATCCTTCAAGCTTGAGAACTCTCTTCACTCGAACCTTCTGTACTAATCTTGGGCAGACATACAGCCGGCGGGTACCCTGCCTGGCCAAGTGGGGAGAAAACCCCAGATACGCCATTCTAGCGGACTGAACGGGAAGGAAATGTCTTTACAAGCGTCGAATACGAACCCAACATCGAACTGTATGATGGTTTGGTTGACGACGACTTTGGGATTCTGGGGTCGGTGGGTGGGGCTGCTCTGCTTGGGTGACAAACCAAGGCGCTCCTCCAAGCCGCGCGCGATGGGCGGTGATGGCACGGCCGAGGTGGCCCATGTCACCGTCAACAGGGGAGCAGCAGCGCAACAACCTCGACACCACCATCGCCTCCTCTCCTTGCTTGCTTCCTATCGTTGTTATCCCAAGAAAAATAGGAATGATAAGTTCCAGGCCTCCCGGATGGTTGCTCTCGCCGCTGCACTTATTCGGCTTCTCGGCCATGACCGTATCCTAGCATCAGATCATGCATGCACGGAGAGAGATTGAGGTCAATTCACGCCTTGGTGGCCTCCTCAGACTACACAGCAGGCAACACAGAATGTTAGACACAAGTGCGTCCCGGTCATAGTGTGCAGATAGCCCCTCCTCCCCTCGTACCCTCGCCCATGCGGACTAATGATATGCGCCGTCTCTATACGAGGATCAACCCTCCGATCATTCCATGCCGGTAGGGGGATTGGGGGGGGGGGGGGGGTTGGGTTGAGCAAGAACAAGACAAGGAGTTACCACCAGCTGCACCCGACCCTGTCAGGATAACTGGCACGTGCTCGCCCTCGTAGACAACTTTTGCCCCGGAGACAAAGATTGTCGCTGGCTGCACCCGACCCTGTCAAGATGACCAGTACACAATCTTGTCACAGGATTTCTTGCCTTCTTCCCCCCCCCCCCCTCCCCCCCAGCGTGACGATCTTGCGCAGAGAGCCGTCGCCGGCTGCACCCGACCCTGTCAGGATAACCGGTACACGAGCCTTGCATACAGAGAATCCTGTCCGCAGTCTTCCCCAATCACCATCCGCAACGGGCCAGGCCGGGAAAAGAAAAATAAAAAGAAAAGGAGGGGGCATCCGCAACTACATGCCAGGATGGCCAGCATTACGACTCATCCGCTGCCTCTTGTGCTCTTGTCTCCTCGGCCGAGAAGAGATATGTGTTCCTGGCTGCACCTCGGCCTTGCCGCCCTCTCCAAGACGAACAAGCTGTGCATCTCCACCCTGTGATAAACGCTGGCGCTGTGCGCGGGTGACCCGAGACAAGGTCGGCCCAGGAGGCGGCGGCGACGGCGGCGGCGGGTGGGACCACTCCTCCCTGCCAGGTCTCGCATGGCCATGCGCATGCGCTGTCTTCTGTTCTGAATGGCTCACCCTCCTCGTGCGGGGTGCCCGGTTGTTGCGGACTGCTGTGGCCGGGAGGACCTGAGGGCTGCGGCCTAAGGAAGACGTCTTGCCAGAGCTAGCGCGTGCTCTTCTTGCCCCCGCGGCGGCTGGCTTCCTTGTCCTCTCGCCTGCCCGTCTCTCGCCCGCCTGAAGCGTATATGCCTGGTCTGCATCGTCCCTGCCGCTGCCGCTGTTGCTGCTGCTGCCGCCCTCCGCTGGCGGACCCACCGATGTGGCACCTGCCGAGTAGGGAGGGCTCGTGTTTGCCGCCGCCTGTGTCTTTCTCCTCTTGTTCTCTGGATAGAACCCCCGGCTCTCGGCCTCCTGCGGCTGTGCAGGGCCACAGTCTGCCTCGTCTCTTTGCTGGTCCCGCTTTCTCTTCTTACCGTGTGTGCTCGTGGCCGCGGAGGCGGGGGGTGGAGCTGCTGTTGGTGTTGGTGGTAGTGGTGATGATGACGACGTCTGTGTCTTGTCGTCTCCTGTCTGTAGGGCTGGAGACTGTTGAGGCCGGCGGCGGGTGCGCCTCGAGCTCTTCGGGGCCCGGGTTCGCTTCTGGACCCTGCTGCCCGAAGTTCTCGACAGGCCCCCGGCCTGGTTGGGCTGCGCACGCACCGCTGCGCGCCTGGGCGGCTTAGTCGCTGTTCGCATCGGTCGTGCGGGCGCCTGAGGCTCAGCGGACGAGGCGCGCGAGGGCGCCGTGACAAAGGACGGCGTTTCCGACTCGGCTCGTGTAGCGAGGGGCGCGGGAGGGAGGGGAGGGTCGGGTTGGGCCTGCGGCGGTGGTTGCGGCCTCGCTCGCCGGTTTTTGGGCAGGAAATTGGCAAAGAAGCTGGTTATGCTATCAAAAGAACCATAATAAACAACCTTCCATAAGTCGGCATATTGTTGCATATCCAGCAGCTCAATAGGAGCTCCTTGAAACAAACCTTGCACTGATACTAAGAATAATCTCTTAATCTCCTCATGCCTTATATCCCGCCGCTCAGAGAGCAGCCTGAAGAGCTCATCACAGTCTCGCGCAATGGTGCTGAGGTAGGCCACATCCCGGCAGAAGGCGTTTGTATCAAGCAGCGCTATCGTAGTCGTGTTGAACCGCGGTGCGAGGACGGTAAAGACATCTTGCTTGTCCATCCCAAACTTCTCGGCCGGCCAGTCGTGGGAGGGGTTCTCCGAGAAATAGCCTTCGTGATACCGCCGAAACTGTTCGGGCCAGTCTGCGGCCCATGGGTTGGGATTAGGAGGCATTAAGAGAGGCAGCAGGATGGACTTGAGATCGAGAAGAAGATAGACACGAAAAAGCAATGTCTGTTGTTGTAGTATTGTTTATAGAATGGGAATGTCAGAACACCTGGTACGGAAGCTAGGCGAAATCACAATAATATAAGCAGGAGACAGGCTTGAAGAGGTAGCTGGAAAGGCGATATGCTGGCTATGTAGGGGAGAGTAGCACGTGCTCTGCTAGCGCCCTGAAGGCGCCTTAGCGGTGGCGCCACTCCTGACAGGGAAGCACTGAGTGGAGCAAGCAAGCAGATTTTTCCGAGGCTCCTAACGCGTTAAGCGCTCCTAGCCCCGCAACCGCGTGGCACCTAAACTGAGTTCCCACCTGCTGATCTACAGGGCATAAATCCGCGTGGCTGGGCTCGCAAAGAGGCTAGGGATTCCTGCTCTTGAATCCAAAGATAATATATACCCTTTTGTACGATTATAGCAGCTGCGGTCGTGGTTTTTCTCAGAGTAGCATCATTTACAGCTCAGCAAGATGTCAGGCACGACCCCCAGCCCCACCCCATTAACTGCCGAGCTAAGGGAGCAGCTACGCGCCGCCCATGGGGGCAATCCCGCTCTGTGTTCTGCTGTAACATGTCTGGTCCTCGAAAGCCCGACAGGTCTCCCTTCTTCCGAGCAAAGCCTGATCGACCTGAGATCATCAGTGCTCCCGGCGGACCGGTCTACATCTAGCACAGCAGAAAATGCTGCTGTGCGCAATGCATCGCTCATCTCGACAGCCCCGTGGGACAATGTGATTTCAACAGATTCCTCCCCTACCCAGAATCCCGAGCCCGAGTCAGAGCCACAACAGTTTTATACAGCCCACACGAACATCATTCATGATAGTGATCATCTGCTGCACGAGTCCGACCAGAGCCTGCTGGCTGTTGTTGCTGCGCATGTTCAGGCAGCATCCGTCAACCCGCAGATAGATATGCTGCCCCGGCTGAGAGTTCTTTTTGAACAACTCGATGTGGGCGACCAGCAGCTAGCAGTGGACACCCGACATGCCTCTTTCTCTACCGAGACAGCAGCCAAGCAATACAAGGTGCTAGGTGCGACGCATACTCGTACCGAGACGGAGTGTGCACTGGTAATCGGCGATCTCCGGATTGCTATCCTGTTTGTCCCGTGGAAAGACCAGGCTCTTCTGATCAACAACTCGTCGGGGCTCCTCCGCCTGACAGGAAGGCCAGACAAGCTGAAAGGGCTCGATATACGGCCCAAGAGATATGAAACTCTCGACCCGGGCTCTTGGGTTCTCCAGAGCAACAGCACCTGCCTGTGGCTGCAGCTCCGACCGTGCCGCTATGATCTCCTTCTCGAGGAGCATACGAAAAAGAGAACAGCTCGGGCCGTGTCGTCGTCTTCCAAGGCAGCTCGGCTCTCAGTGGACCACCAGCGCAGCAGCACGAGGGCCAGCATTGCCGACCTGCATTCCGATCCCGAGGACGCTGCGAAGAGTCTCATCTGGAAGGCCGTTGCGCATGAGATTGACGATCTGGCCAACCTCGGCATTCCCCTGGGCCGCGCCTTGCACATACTTGATCACACTACGGCTGCGGTCGAGTACTCTATAAGGCGCCTTGATGGCTGGTTGGTAACCAGAAGCCACGGGCTTATCTTCAAGGCCGTCTGGTGCAGGACCGCACAACAGTCCCGAGTTGTTATTGTGAAGATGCACAAACCTGCCGCAGGTGATGAAAATTCGGTGCGAAACGCTGTCGATCGCTGGAAGAGGGAAGTGAAGATGCATCGTGGTCTGCAACATGTACGCTTCCTTTTTATTTTTTCTTTCTTTCTTTCTTTTTTTTTTTTCGTTTATGTACAACAAATTCTCCTTGATATTTCTGACTATGTCCTCGCTTCCCCCAGCCATGCATTGCCAGCCTTGTAGCATTTGATGCTCGCCTGCTGGTGCTTCTTGTGGAGCTGAAGAATGCTCATGATCTGGGCAGCCTCCAATGGTGTTACCCACGAAACTCATCAAGGGCTAGCCATTTCAAGGGAACCATCGATGATGCTTATACCATCTGTGCTGATATGGCGAGTGCGCTGAGCTACCTACAAGACAAGGACATTATCCATGATGATATTAAGGCGCTGAATATCTTATATCATAGACAAAACGGCGCTACACTTATCGACTTTGGGCTCAGCCATTTCGTGAGCGAAGGCATCACCCAAACGGGTGGATCACCATGGTACAAGGAACCTGCTACACAACTAACTAATCAAAATGAGACGATATTGGGCGATATATTCTCGTTGGGTGTTGTAATGCTGTATCTGATGGGCGAGATCTCTCTTCCCGATCAGCAACCCGGGTGGTCCATCCGTGATGCTATTCTGTACAAACCCGAAGCAGTAGCCTCGCAGAGAGCATGGTTCGAGATGCTGGAAATCAAAAGACAAGCTTTCGAGATGCCACCGCCCGGACGCGCGAGCACTAAGGAGGCAAAACTCCGTGACCTTGTCAGCAAGATGCTGCTCCCTAGGTCGGAACGCATCAGTGCCCGAGATCTGGCGAGGAAGTTGGGTTCAGAGCAGGGACGGTCTGCCTCAGGGGAAAGTAACTATGGTCCCCAGAGACGGCTGGAATATGGACTAGCCGACTGATCGGGGTTTCGGGGTTAGAATTCAGGATAAGTTGTGCTCGGGTCTTGTATTTCATTTTGCACTAAAAAAAAAAAAACATAAGAGTTGTCTCTTTCGAAGCTCGTACCACTATGACAACAATCCGCCCCTCTGTAAAGAGCAGCATTCCTCTTCCGAGGTCCGTCGGGTTCCTCACTTGGATTCGGGGAGCTGCTTTGACTTAACTCTGTTTGTGGAAATGAATGGGACGGAAGCCGGGCAAGCAAAGCAAGCCTATGACGGCCGAGATGGATGCCATGACAATGGCCGCTGAAGAAGCTCGGTAAGCTTGTAGGGTTCACATCACTGCGGGGTAGAGTTCTCTTTTTCCTTAATATTTTTTTTTTTTTTTAATTTTTTTGAATAAATTTGTTTTTCGTCTTCTCGCGCAGTTTAGTGCTGATCGTAAAGCTACGCGAAATATTTTCAAGTATAACGCGTATATGCTAATAGTGGCGCGATTTGATATAAATAATAGCTACAACAGCCTGCACCTCAGCAGCAGCACGAATCCGTTCAGCTTCAGCCTCCTCGGCCTCCTCCTTCTCAAGCTCCTTGAGATTCTTGAGACCTCGACGGATAGCCTTGGATATCCTCTCGCGCTACATCCTTTTCTGCTGATACAACCGAGTCAACCTTAGCTCCAGCTTCTCGATCTCGTTCTTCAATTTTTGGTGTTGTATCGAAGTAAGGAGAAGTTCGGCAGTGTTGGTTGGTTCTAGGATGTTACACTTCGTATAGCCTTGGGCTACGCACTCGGAACAACGAGAAGAATCCTTGGGAGAAACGGTATACGAAGTCAAACTGCGCTTATTACAATAGGAGCAAGAATGCATATCGAATCCATTAGAGACAATAGACTGAAAAAGGAAGTTCTTTTGTTTCTTTTTGTCAGAACGAGGATTCGAAGATTTGGGTTTTGTAATTCTGTTCAATATCTCGATTAGGAAGGCATGATCCAATGCATAAAGAGCTTGCTAGGAAACTTACGAAAGATCGTTAAGAATAACAACTGATAGGAGGGAGATGATGTTATGACCCATCCAACATGCAGATTACAGAGCAGGCTCCGCAAACAAGGGACCAGGTGTTGCAACCCAGCGTCGGACAACAGACAGTATTACATAACCCAGGGTTAGGGTTGTAATGGAGGGAGGATCAATGGATCTGCTCGGAGATCCTCAGATCCTCATACCATGGATCAATGGATCTGCTAGCAGATCCATAGAGCTATACTGAAGAGCTGGATATATAAGGACACGTTCATTACCACTAGATAGACCACCAGGACATAGCTCTTCAGTCATCAATCTAAGTATTCATTTGTCACACACTTGAATAGCCCCAAAGGCGAATGATCAGCACTTGCACGGATTACTCAGTTATATTTCCGTATTCAGTGGATTCTACTTTGACACCGCTCTTGTTAGCATAAACCCTTTGTGTACTTCAGATCTTCGGATATTGCAGTGCATATCATTACATAGCAGCATAGGAAATACCAACAAACAATACAGCAGAAGCAGCAAACAACAAACCAGAATATAAGATTGAAAGGATTCTCAAGTATAGAAGCATAGATAGCACGTAAGAATACCTTATCAAGTGGAAAGATTATCTAGCAAGCGAGAATTTATAGGAATTACAGAAATATGTTGAAAATGCTTAAGAAAAAATAGCTGAGTATTGAAAGAGAAAAACTAGCATCTAGAACGATCACTCCGCCCCGGACTGAGATCCAGAGGCTTCAAGAACCTCATTCTCCAGAAATCTAGATCAGTTCACTATACTATTCCCCACATTCACGGAATTCCAGTCAAACCCCTCAAGAAAAGAATCCGCACCAGCAACAGCGGACCCCTCAGCTACCACAGACTGCACCTCGGCAGCAGCATACATCCGCTCAGCTTCAGCCTCCTCGGCCTCCGCTTCTTCCAGATCTGCAAGATTCTTGAGACCCCAGTGGAAAGCGCGTATCATCTTCTCCTGCCACATCTTTTTCTGTTGCTAAAGGCGTATCAGCTTCAGCTCCAAGTCCTCGATTTCATCCTCCAGCTTTTGATGCTGGACAGAGGCAGAGATCAACTCAGCAGCGTTGATCAGCTCGAGCATATTGCACTTGGACTGATTGTGCTGAACGCATTGAAGGCAACAAGAAGAGTCTTTTTCAGAGATATCACAGATCTCTAAGCTCAAGCGATCGCAGTAGGAGCAGGAATGCATCTTAATAGCACTAAAGGAGATTTTGAAAAGAAGAGATTCCCGCTGTTTATTCTTGTTGGAATAAGGATTTAAAGATTTCAGTTTTATAACTTTATTCTTCATCTTGATTAGAAAAGCGTAATTATGTATATGAAGAACTTGCAAGAAAACTTACAGAAGATTGTTGAGAACAATGATTAATAGAAGGGAGATGATATTATAACCTATCTAACATGCAGATTACAAAACAGGCTCTGCTAACAAGGAATCAGATGTTACAATCCAACGTTGAACAACCAATAGGATTACATAACCCAGAGTTAGAGTTGTAATGAAGAGAGGATCTATAGATCTGCTCCAGATCTCCAGAGCCTCATACCATGAATCTATAGATCTGCTCCAAATTTCTAGATCCGCACTGAAGAGCTGAATATATAAGAATACATTCATTACCATTAAATAGACTACCAGGACATAGCTCTTCAGTCGTCAATCTAAGTATTCATTTGTTACACACTTGAATAGCCCCAAAGGCGAATGAAAGCACTTGCACGGATTACTCATTACTTGTTCCATATTCAGTAGATATCACTTTGATACTGCTCTTGCTAGCATAAACTCTTTGTGTACTTCAGGATCTTCGGATATTGCAGTGCATCATCACAGCTACCCTCAGGATCAGCTACGAAAGAAAGAACCCAGAACAAATAATCCTGGCGGAACAGGACGCCTACATTCAGAATGTACACAGCACACCAGCATACAGACACCAGGGAGTCAGAGCAACCTACGCACGAATTTCAAGATACTGGCATCCGCCAGAACTCAAGAAGAGGATTGAGAACCTCTTACAGCAATGCAACGAGTATCAGAAGAATAAGGCTAGTTGCTACAAGCCTTATGAACTGCTACAAGCTTTACCAGTACCTAGCGCTGCTTAGTTCTCCATCAGCCTAGACTTCATTATCAAGCTACTACTCTCACAAGAACCCTTAACCAAAGTGCAGTTTGATAGCATCTTGGTAGTGGTTTGCAGACTGAGCAAGTACGCTTATTTCCTTTCCTACAAGAAGAGCAGTACTGCAGAAGAACTCGTATACGCATTTCTCAGAATAATCATAGCCAACCATAGCATGCCACAAGAAATCATTTCCGATAGAGACAGAAAGTTTGCATTATACTTCTGAATCTTACTGATAAAGCAACTTAGAACAAAACATAAAATGTTTACAGCATTTCACTTACAAACAAACGAACAGACAGAGCATACAAATCAGATTGTGAAACAATATCTACAGTTCTATGTAAATCACGAACAGAATAATTGGATTGAACTACTATCACTAGTATAATTTGCATATAATAGTGCAAATATGAGCACTATAAAGATTTCATCATTCTACACATTCTACAGGCACAATCTTACAGCATACCATGAAATCATTCCAGGAGCAAATGCTGAAGCAGCGAATAAAAAGGCTCAAAGAATCAGAAAGATTCATGAAGATCTCCGATCAGAACTCATATTCGTACAAGAAAGAATAGCACGATTTGCAAACTCTAAAAGGATTAAGAGACCAATCCTGCAGAAGGAAGATAAAGTCTATCTTGTTCAACGAAAGGAATACATTAAGATAGTACAATCCAGCTACAAACTCAACTACAAGAAGCTTAGCCTATTTAAGATTTTGCAAAAGCTATTATCAGTTAGCTACAAACTCGCACTATTCTACAGAATGAGAATATACTCAGTCTTCCACATCTCATTGCTTGAACCAGCAGCAAGGAGCGCAAGAACCGATGATACTATCAAAGTACAATCAGAAAATGCGCAGAAGTACGAGGTACAGAAGATCCTCAAATCACGAGAATCAGAAAGCACGCTTGAATATCTTGTCAAATGGAAGAACTACCCATCCAGCGAAAACACATGAGAACCACCAGAAAACCTCAACTGCGACAGAAAACTGGAAGAGTTTCATTCCAGGACCTAGGAGAACGCTCCGCTCCGGACCGACTCCCAGAAGCCCCAGCGCTTGAAGATCCACCAACCTGAGGCATCTCAGCCAGAAAATCAGACCCAACCCCGGAAATCGAATCACCCCCAGCAGCAGTCACGAACCCATTCTCTTCCAGATCCTGCATTGCAGCAACAAAATCGAAACCCGGAGGAAAATCAGCAGGCCCTTGGAAGATGGAAGCAGGAGAAGGCTGAACCCCAGCCTCCGCAGCCTTGATGACGCTCCTCAGCCTCCTTAGCCTCGATCTGTTCCAACTCCTCCACGCTGCTCAAGCCCCGGGAAAGAGCCTCAAATATCTTCTCGATCCAATAATGACGCTGCTTGCGCAAACAACGAACCCTAGCAGCCGCGAGTTCAAGTTGCTCCTCAGCAGCCACCAGCTCCTCATCAGCCTATCGGTGCTGATTGTGTGCGAGGCCAGGTGGGTCACTGGCCCCACTATCGCCAGCCAACCTAGCTATAGCTCCAGTTAGCCAGCTTTTTTCTTCCCTTCCTCTCTTTTCCTCCCTTTTTTCCTTCCCTAAGCGCAGTCCAATACAGTTCATTTCCCATAGATTGACGATCTTCTGCATCTGAGCAGGAGTAAGACCCAAGCGGTTATAGCTGCTACGACCTCGCAGCACACAGAAGGCATAGCGAGAAGTATCGGAATCGGAAGGCTTGCACTTAGTCTTGTGCGAATCGCAAAAAGAACAGGAGGGCATTCTCCCGAAGTGATCAAAAAGAACAGAGAGAAAGCAAAGGGTTTGACTGATCCGGTAAAATACGATCTTGGCGGAAAGAGATTTTTCAACCCTGTTCTTCATCTTGATTAGGAAGGGGCGAACCAATCTATGGAGTATAATGGGAAACTTACAGGAGATCGTTAGGGATAACGATCGATAGGAGGGAGATGATATTATAACCCAGTCAACATGCAGATCACGAAACGAGTCACACGGAACAACTGGCCGGAAGCCAGGAATACTGAATCCAACACCCCAGTAAAGGGGAAAGCTTACATAAGCAAGGGTTAGGGTTTAAATAGTTGGAATAGTCTGACTATCCTGACTATCGCCAGGTTCGCCCAACTATTCCGACGAACCAACAGAACCAACACTACTAACAGGACTGAAGAGACGGATATATAACCACAGTCATTACCACCAGCAGATAGATCCTGTACATAGCTCTGTAGTCGTCAATCTAAGTATTCAGTCTTACACACTGAGTAGCCCCAAAAGCAGTGAACACTCGCATTGTTTATTAGGACTTGTACGGTTCCGTATTCAAGGACTTGACACTTTGATATCGCTCTTGCTAGCATAAACCCAATCGGTACTTAGGAATCTTCGGATTACTGCAGTGCTCATTACTTTGAAGAATATTCGAGAAAAGAAGCTTCAAACGGATTCATACATACCTCTAGATTAGCAAGGCTAATAGCTTAAGGAGAAGAATCTAGCGGAAAGGATGCTACTATTGTGCTAGGGTTTTCGCAGATTACAGAAATAAGAATGCAGGCATCATGTGATGATGCACTGCAATATCCGAAGATCCTGAAGTACACAAAGAGTTTATGCTAGCAAGAGCAGTATCAAAGTGTTATCCACTAAAATACGGAACAAGTAACGAGTAATCCGTGCAAATGCTTTCATCCGCCTTTGGAGCTATTCAAGTGTATAACAAATGAATACTTAGATTGATAACTGAAGAGCTATGTCCTGATGATCTATCTAATAGTAATGAACGTGTTCTTATATATCCAGCTCTTCAGTATGGCTCACCTGGCTTACTGATGATCCAAATGATCCGTCCTTGTCATAGCCCTAACCCTTGATTACGTAATCCGCTCAGTTCTTTTGTTGGCGGGGGCTGTCCTGTGACCTGCATGCTAGATGGGTCATAACACACTATCAGAAGCAGATGCAGAAGCTGTAGACAGAAGAATTAAGAAAATCAAGAAAGTTCAGGAAGAACTTCAATCAGAACTACAATTCGTTCAAGAATGAATGATACAATATGCAAACTCCAAAAGGATTAAGAGACCAATCCTACAGGAGAAAGATAAGGCCTACCTACTTCGCTCATTACATCGGGACTCATTAGCTCAGCAGGGAAAGGGGCAGCGGCGGAGGGCTGGGCGGGGCTAGGGTAAGGGCGGGGCGGGCGGGCTAGGCGAGGAACACCAAACCGAAGCCTAGCGGAGAGGGGCGCGTTGGATGCGGCCGCCCGGCAGCTCAGGGCATCTAGGAGAGGAGAAAAATATGTAAGACTGATCGCTGGGCGGCGGCGGGTCCGCTGATGTCTTTTTTTTTTTCCGGATTCCGGTGAGCGGCAGCGGGTTGTACTCTTTCCTGGTCAATAGAACCTCTGAAGAGAAAAGCAACTATTGGCAGCACGCTGAGCTCCGAGGCTGGATACACTTGTGGGGAAAGATGGCTAAAAAGGTTCTGTTATGTGAGAAGTATCAACTACAAGAATGTATGAAAAGAGGATTTCTATTCTTGAACACTAGTCACATTTCTTTCCTTTCCCATCCAACAGATATAGCAACAATGTGAACAGAATATCCCTCCATAGCATACAGTGCACATCTGAAAGGGGTGCTATTTCTACTGTCTTGTGTGAAAGATGATAGCTATCTGCTCAAAAAATGATAGCTGCAGCTCCTAAATGCATAGTCCGATCCTGTGGATAAGCCTGCTCTGGTGAGACAATGTGCTCCACTTCTAGATGCTTGACCATGTATCATTCATCAAAGCTAACTTACAGTTGAACAAAGACCATTTCTCCAGCCTCATGCTGCTAGCAGAGCCACAAATTGAGGCAGGGATTTTAGTTCTCTACCTAGAACTCACCCTCATTCACTCCACTGGAAGCTGATGAATAATTGCTCCGGGTGCCTACTATTAGAACGACCGCTCGTCCTAACCCATCGGTTTCAGAGAAGGACGACTCTTGAGTCTGCTCCGAATAGACAAAGCACCTGCTCCCTTTCTGAATATGCAATCAAAGGAGCGCGAACGGCACACAAAGAGGATAAGGCTTATCCACTCTATAGGTTTTGTTGTCCGATCAAAAGGCCCGGTTAGGCCGAATTTCTGCGACGAACCCCTTTATGCCGAGAGCCCGAAGTTGTTTTCAGCCACGGGGAGAAAGACTCTTTGATCCGACAATTTTCTATGCTGTAAAATGTCTCGCCACCGATCATGCGCGGCCTGGGCGGTTCCAAGGAGTCTTTTCTCACATGACAGCGCAAATGTGATAGAGACGGAGAGAGAGAGAATACCCGCTAAATAATCCGTTCTTAGCTGGACTACGACCTCATGGCTGAAAAGTTGATAGCTCTTTTGACGACGTACGGCTGTGCGGTCGCTTGGTGTCAGTCATCCTGAATTCTGTCACAAAATCCCATCCTCCCTCCGCATTCGCGATTTTCTCGTCATGAGAAGCCGAGTTGCCAAACCGCGGCAGGCCCGTCGCTTTCCTCTCAGACCCCGCAAACTCTCCCAAGAACAGCTGCTGAGCACTATTGCAAAGAATAGTACAGGTATGTCGGCAGCATACCCTTGTTTTTTAAGAAGAAGACATGTTGACGCCTTTGAGGTAAAGAGCTTCCACTGAGCCACAGCGAGCAACAGTCTCCAGTGAGTAGAGAATTTGCGCAAGAGGAGCCATGCTCGCCGCCCGAAGAAGGACAACTCGGCACGCCAAGTACACATACACAACAATTCAGGGTTGAAGACAAGAAAGTAGAAAAGGCGGCTCAGGTACGGATGGTATCGTTTTGCTCACAATCAAGTCACCGACTAACAGAAGAACTCGTGCAGAGACCTCGTCCACCTCTCAAGGTTCTAAACATCTCCCTCTTTGCGCCCAAGGCCACAGGGCAAGACAAGCAAGCCCCCTCAGCCACGTGGTTGCGAGAGCAGCAGGTCGGCAGCGCCAGCGACGGCAACAATCCCAAGGCAAAACGAGCACCGTTGACACGGAAGAACTTGGCTCTATTCAACAAAATGGCCGAAAAGAAAGATACCGGCAAGTCAGCGCTGTCTGCTTCCCCAGATCCGACCAGAAGAACCAGAACAACCACTATTTCAACAACAGCACCTGGCTTTTCTTCTCGAGCCCGAGACAACGGGATTCTCAATCCACGTAATTGCAAAGCTCCCACGAATCTTGACAATCTACGTGAACAGTATGCCGAATCTCGATATTCAGCTTCGCCTACTGAGTCAGCTTTCAAGGATTATATTGACGAGGTTGAGGATGCTCCTAATGAAGCAACGATGGTTGAAGTGGGCGGGCAACTTCTGAAAAAATATCCAAGGGATGGTTATAAACGCGTTCTCAACCAGGCCTTTACAGGCTTTCCAAAGAACGTTGGTTTCAACAATGGTCTGTCTGCTCCGCAGCCTGATTATGCTCAAGGTCTTGAGAAGGACAAATTCCGTCCGTTCCCAATCTACCAGATCGATGGGGCTATTATCTATAAAGATGATCCTGACTCTTTAACCTTACCGCATTTAGCTGGAGAGTGGAAAGGACCAGGAAAGGATATGAGAGAAGCTAGGCTGCAAAGCGCTTATGACGGGGCTTCTCTTGTCTATGCGCGAAATAAGGCTCTTTCTTATCTCGGAACACCTGATCCTCCTGGGTATGCTCAAATTACGACTTTTACCACAGATGGCACAAACCTCAATTTGTTTGCACACTATGCCAGGCCATCTTCCATAGATGGTAGGCTGGAATACCATCAGTACCCTATCAACTCGACACTTCTTACCAATTCTTACCAGGAGTTCAAGACTGGCCGAAAAGAGCTCCGGAATGCACAGGACTATGCAAAGAACCAGTGCTACAACTTGAGGGACCAGCTGAATGACTATTGGCAGAAGCAGCAGCATTGTGATGCTCTCCAAGCCATCGCTGAAGGAGCTTCTCGGCCTGGGCTGTGCAGGGAGTAGCTTGACGAGGATGGAGACAAAGCCAAAGCTGGTCCTACAAGCAACAACATGTTCCACTAGAGAGAGGCAAGCGGCACTGACTCCAAAGTTGTTGGAACAGTGAGGTGAAAGAAGGATGATGTTGTTCAAGAGCATGCAACCATTGAAGAGGATGCCAAGGTCGAGGTTCCTCTCGAGGTAGCGAAATAGGTGCTTTTGAAGGTGTATATGAGCTGCTGAGGGGCCCGCATTACCTTTGGCGATCTTTCCCACCGTGAACGAGATGTCAGGCCTCGTACCAGTAGATAGCCAATTCAGTGCTCCTGTACGCTTTTGATAGAGCTTTGTCTGGTCATAAAGAGGCTCCCAGGCCTTAGGCAGTTCAAAGCCAACCGGCCACGGGGTCTTCGCGACCTTGTGTGACTCAAAGCCGTATAGGATGACGATCTTTCTGGCATACTCCTCCTGCGAGAGGAAGATCGTCGAGTTCTCCTTGTCCCTTTTGATGTTGAAGCTCAGGAACTTCTCAGGCTCTCCCAAAAGCGCTGGGACGCTGTGCTGGATGAACATCACCCTTGTTCCGTCCATCTTGAATGCCATCGTTGTTGGTAGTCTTGGTGATGATGGAAGAGGGACCGTAGCCGCTTCCTCAATGCTTGGAACAGCTTGTATGTCCTCGTTGACGGACTGGCTTGCGATGTTCTCGTTATCAGAGTCCATCTGTTATGGGGATCAGGACGGCTTGGTGTCCTGAAGAGCTTGAGGGTCGAAAGGACTAGCTTGAGGGTCCTCTCTGTTGTTTTTGAGTGAATTCAACCGCGTTGAGCGCGATTCGAGGTCGAATTCGAGGTTTTTGCCGTAATCAGGGGTCGAGGAACGATTCAAATATCGTGAATGCTCGAAAGAAAGGGCAAGAGGGCTGCATAACCTGTGCGACAGCTAAAAGGAGTAACCACTCCCAGCTGACTGGAAACGGCTGTGGCTTATATAGCTGCGTAACGGTCGAACTTACACAATATCAGGTTTCCAAGATCTAGAGATCCGATTCCTATCTTGATCTATTGGGCGAGATTTCCCAACACTGCCGCCCTAAACATAATAATCGAAGATCAAAAGCTCTCCTAAGTACTGCATATCTCAATCTAGCATCTGAAGGTGAAATTAATTCAGCTATCAGGAATATCGATATAATGCCATCCATCTATCTCATCTATAACTCCCAGAACGCTACTTCAGGAGTTCGGGTGAGATGCAATGCCAGATATTGCATTATCGAATTCTTTAATGGTAGCATCGTATAGAGGTCCTGGTTCTGGCGGCGTGCCAATATATAACTTGCCTTCAGCCGAGATGGGAAATAGAATCCGGCGAAGTCCGCTGCATAGTGGCTTGACACAGGCAAGGGATGGCGGAAAATGAGCCAGAAGCACCTCGAAGCTGTCAGCATGCATATGCCCCTGCTTGCTTAATGCAATATCATCGAAAGAACCCATGTACCACGTCTTCCAAACATCGCTGGGCGGCCTTGCCTTAGGATCGCAGAGAAAACCCCTCTCCCATGCCCGGCAGCCGCAGACCCAGAGGAGGACATAGAAGAAGGACTCCAGGTCGTGTCGGAAGGTGTGTCCAGCGTTCCGTAGAACCTCGATAGCCATAAACTCCATCGTGCCAGTCTGGTAGCGTGCACCTGATCTACCGCTGCCTATCTGCTTAGCCAAATCAAGATCGATTAGCATTCCGGTAAATCCATTAGCACAGCGAGGATCTGTGATGATAATGTTGTTTTCCGAGATATCTCTATGTAGGATCTTGCCGGTCAAGTACAGAGATCGATGAGCTCTGATAGCGTCTCGGAGAGCAGTAAGCAGTTCAGATATAGTTGTAAAGCTATTGAGACCCCGCCCTGCAGGAGAGATGGCGAGGCAGCCGAGCTGGCGGTTATCGTATGGGTCAGAGCTCCGATCGTATAGACTGCCCGGAGCATCAGGTTTCAGCTCATAGCGGAGCCCTGAGGAGTGGCTGTTAGACTTCTGCCTCTTGGCAGTAGCTACGTTCTGGCTATCAACAGACGCTCGCTTCCTTGAGTCATGGCTCTCCTGGCGAGCCAGCTGCAGCACTCGTGTTAGGGACCCAGATTGACTGGTGGATTGTTTGTTCGGCTCGGCTTGGCTAACCTGCTGCAGCTGGAGCGACTGCGAGGTAAGGGAGCGGGATGATGTGAGCTCAGCGCCGGCGGCACCATGAATAGTCCATGGGCGACCAAACACGAGACCGCTGCGGAGATCAGCGATGCTCGTGATTCTCTGATATCCCACAAACTGAGCAATGCCCTCAACGCCTTTCTCGTAAGCAAGCCTGAGATGATCTGCCTCTGGGGGCCGCTTGTTCGAAGTCCAGGAGAACTTCACAACATTATTGTGATCAGTCGTCCTAAAGCAGGTTGTGCCCCGGCAGACCACCGCTCTCTGCTTAACGAACGGCTCCTGGTCTAGCTGCAGTTTCCTCTTCTTGCCATGCACATCGCTCGTAAGAGTAATAGTGCGCTTGCTGCCCCTGCAGTTAGTAAAGGTATCGAGGCCGAGCTCCTCGTCGCTCATGAATGCATATCCAGCTAGGGAGAGTATAAACTTGTCGGGCTCCTCATGAATATCGAACTCGCCAGAGCTGTAGGGGCCCGATCTGTCAAAAACCCAGAGCTCCATCTTGGTTCCGTGTAGGAAGAACCCGTGAGCAAACCGACGAGTGGGCTGGCTGGTGAAGAGATCGCGCATGTAGCGAGAGAGCTGCAGCAGCAGCGTCTTAGGGCCGGGGTGCGACTGCTTATGCTCTCCGAGAACGAGTATATCCTTCCAGTCATGTTTGGGAGTATCAACGCTTCTAGGCTTTAGAAAGATATCGAGCTGCCGCGAGGCCTCACCGCCCATCAGAGCGCTGGTGCTCGGAGCGCTGTGGTATGTAGATGGTGCACCGACGAGAAAGTCCTCCTGGAATTGGAGCAGCCATGCCCAGACATCCTTCTGTGTTGGGGGATCGGGAAAGTCCGCCCACTGCCCGTCAACATGTCTTGCGCTGATGGACTGGTAGATAGTCCTGCACTGCTCAGTCCATGACTGGCCCTCGAAGTATTTTTCGAAGAAGCCGTTAACGCCTCGAAAGATAGTCCCGTTGAGCTCGTACAAGAGGGCCTGATCCAGTATCTTCTTAGTCTGCTCCTTGCCCTGAAACGACGATGTGGAGCGGACCACTGGCGTAGCACTGGCGGGCGTTGAGACGCTTCGAGGAGGGGTTCGCGGGGCGGCAGGAGCAACTGGCTGGGGGCGTGAGGCGGATGCAGCAGTGATAGCATAATGAACTTGGTCCCAGATCAGCGCATCGTCGGAACGAACATCGATAGCTGTCTTGAGGAGGCATTTGATACAGTCGAGATCGAAGTCGTTGGAGGTAACAGCAGAGTTGAGGTTCAGAAGATCACTGCGAAGGGCACTGTGGGTTGCATTCGGCTGGAGATTACGAACAGCTGGGAGGTTTCGGATAGCAAACAGGAGATCGAGGGCGAGATTCTGGATATCTGTATAGAATTTAGACAGGACTCTCTCAGCCAAGCATTCATCTCTCTCTTACCTTCTTTAACAAGCTGATCAAGCGCGTCTGGGGTGCAAGAGATGTTTCTGTCTTCACAGAGTGAAGCAAAAGAAGCATGAAAAGCATCAAGTTTGTTCCTAATCGGATAGCTTCTGATCTCTGATAGCGATTGATCCGCCATCGTAGGTATGTAGAGCTACAGCGTAAGCTAGAGGGAAGAGGCCGTGGGTATAAGAAGGGGGATTGATTCGACAATGCGGTAGACTTGATTCCGTAAGCGGATTTTCAGGGTTGTCGATGAGGGCAGCATGTAGGAGCGGTTTGATGCGGTCGGGGATGGAGCCGAGAGCGTCGGGCGGCGAGATGGCTTCAAAACAGCCCGTCCTGGCAGGAGGTTGCAACGCTCTGTATTATGATATGATCAGCTGGGTGGGCGTGCAGAGCTGGAAGCTGGCTGGCGTTCCCTACCGTCTTAGTTGAGTTAATGGACACGTCCGAGACGCTCTTTTCTTCGCGAAGTACTAAAAGACAAGCAGCTGGTGATGATCTTTGACTGTAGTTGAGACGCCACAGGAGGAGGATATAACCCCTGAGGTGGACGCGGTTGATGGAGGTCGCGTTTAGAGAGGCATCAGCCCAGCTACGCAGCTGAGTCAGCCGGAAGGAACATCTCTATGCCGAGTCGATCATTCGTCAGTCATTCCTGGCGGCTGAATGTGGGGTAGGGCGTCATTTGGTAGCAACAGGTAAACCCATCAGCACCATACTACTCGTGGGCGCTAGCCCTCCTGGCCCACCTCCGTTCCTCCAGTGAGCGGGATGGCGAGCTGCACTTATACCGGTCTCACAGTGATTTCCTCCCCTTACCATTGCCAATTATCCCTTGCCGAATCTTCACACCCGAAGACTTCATGACCGTTGCGCAGCAAAAACATCACAGCAATGTAGGACGGATTTCGGTACTCCAAACCCGGAGCATGCTGAACAGGCGGCAAGTGACCTATGTGATATTCTTGACGAGGATATCCTCTCAAAGATTAGGTGTCACGACTCAACATTGGACAGTCAGCAAAGGATTACGTAACCAAGGGTTAGGGATATAAGACGACGAGCTCCACTAGGACAGGGGTGGACCGCAACGATCGACGAGCGGTCCTTACGGTTCAGGGCATGGACCGGAGCAGTCGAGCTGCAGTCCTTACGATCCAGGCATGGACCGGAGCAGTCGAGCTGCGGTCCTTACGGTCCAGAGCATGAACCGGAGCAGTCGAGCTGCGACCCTTGCAGTCCATACTGAAGAGCTGGATATATAAGAACACGTTCATTACCATTAGATAGACCACCAGAACATAGCTCTTCAGTTGTTAATCTAAGTATCAGATTACTCTCTTACTCTGATAGCCTCAAAGGCAGTGAACACTTGCATAGTTACTCCGGTTGTATTTCTGTATTCAAAGCCTACACCCGATATTGCTCTTGTTAGCATAAACTCTTTGTATACTTTGAAATCTTCGGATTACTGCAGTGCTTATTACATTTTGATAACTCTTGTTCAAGAACGGTTCAGTATTACCTCTTGAACAATACGGAATACGATAGCTTCTCAGGGATCCTCTTCGTTCTCGCGCGCCTCTACTCAGGAAGAACTGGTCAACCAGATGTACCAGCTCATCCAGCGTATTCAGAACCTGCGCAATCAGCAGCAGGCTCAGAGCGCTACCATTGCTAACCAACAGGCTTAGCTAGCTCAACAGGCTCAGCAGGCGCAGTCCATCTCTACAACTATCAATAATGCTGAAAAAATGTATAAGATGAACAAACTTGCCATGTATAATAGCAACTAAAAGATACTGCATAAGTTTCTTATCTACTGCAAAGCATACTTTTTGCATCATGCAATCCAGTTTACTAAGGAATCTAAGAAGATTATTCTTGCAGAGATTTGTTTCGAAAAAAATACTCTTATCTGATACAAATCTTCTCTACGTAACTATCTGGAATATTAAAACAATCCCGATGCGCATACTCAGAATATCAAAGATATGTTCAACTCCTTTGCAAGCTTTGAGAAAGCTCTTAAGGAAACCTTTAGCAACTCCAATAAGGAATGCACTACAGCTCAGCAGCTTATGAATCTCAAATAAACCAAATCAGCTTCTGCTTATATAATCAGATTCAAACAACTCTCAGTATAACTTCTATAGAAAGATAAGAATCTTATAAAGCATTATTATAAGAGACTTAAGAATGATATTAAGAATGAAATCTCTAAGCAGAATTAGCTAGAGAACTTTGCAATATTCTCCAATCAAGCAATCCGCATTAATAATCATCTGTACGAATAACGGGTGGAGAAGTTCAAGAAGGGAGGAGGCCAGATTTGGAGATTTCCAGCTAATATAGGCAAGAAACTCCAATACAAGAACAGCGGTTAACAGAGCAGCACAGCTCAGAGTGGCATTACGCATGCTGGCCCCATGGAACTCAATGCTGCTAGCAGACAGTACAGCAAGAGGAACAGTATTACTTGCTACAACTGCAATAAACAAGAGCATATCTCATATAACTGCTATCAGCTCAGGAAAAACAAATAGCAACCCATTCAAGAAGAACGTCAGGTGAATATTGCTTAGCAATAAGAAATCTTCAATCAACTGAGCAAAAATATTCCCTCGGAGCAAGTATCGAACTCTATCAATCACGGAAGTCTCAGCTGAACATTCTGCTATAATAACAACTGCTTAATATATCTCTCAAATAAGAAAAGCTCAGAATAGTTCTCTCAGAAACCTAGGCGCTACAGGCAGATAGCGATAGAAGGGCAAGAACATACGCTTAGCACAACTACGAGCAGCGATAACTCGAGCTGCTCCGATATCATCGAACAAAGTATCCAGGCGCTGGAGACAGAACTTAGCAACGATACCCTTCATCACTCCTCGTTATCTACGCTAAGCACTATAACCAGGGATATGAATAAGGGATGATACCCCCTTGGCTATTAGTACAAATACCTGGACAACACCGAGAATACCTCTCAGACAACAGAAGAACCAAGCCAGGATGAATGACCTAGCGATCCAGCAGAGTCTTTCGTGAACAGCGGATCCGACAGCCCTACGAAGGTTCGGAAAGGGAGGTTTTCCTTTAGCATCGAGTGGAATAAGAAAACAACATGAGTTGAATATCTTGTTTATGAAATAGAGTTAGAAGAACTCTTCACCTGCATCCCTTTGCAAAACATCGAGATGCAATAAGACGAAGATCCTCGAGTCAGCTCACTCCATAATCTATACCACAAGCTAGCATGAATCTCCTATGCCTATTATAGCTGCAGAATACATTTCTCAGAGAAGATGCAATATAAGTAGTTCCCTATCAGAGAATCAGAACAAATCCTTCAAGCTGTTGAGAAACAAGAACTTCGCTTCAGGGAAGTTCTTAATAAGCAGCACAATAATGCATACATCGAACTACCAGATAACTGCTCTAGGCCATGCGTGAATAAGGAGATGGAATAGTAGCGATGCAGAATAATGCTCTGCATGATTCATATCAATAATAAGATCTGCAACTAGCATTAATAGAAAAATAATTAGAAACAGCAATAATATGAGTAAAAGCAAGCTAGAAAGCTCGCTTGAGAAGCAGCTAAGCAAGCTTAAAAAGAGAACAGGCAGTTCTCAGAAAACTCAAAAGGCTAGGATTGCTTATAAAGGAACTGCAGATGATCAGATCAGAACAGTTTCTATGTAAAGCTTCCAGAGCAAACTACGCTTACATCAAGCTCAATATATGCATTCATGAATACAAGTACAGCGCACTATTGAATAATAGCGCTCAGGGAAACTTCATATCCTCATATATTATTAATTAGGCACAATTACGATGGAAATGAAAGAGCTAATCCTATATCCTCAGCAGTATGAAAGGATAATCTGTTGCATATAACTAAGATATAATCAATACGGAAACTGATTATCTATCTATCTTGATTCAGAGATACGTAATCAGAGTTTCTTTTGATATCACAGATATAGCATAACATGAGCTGATTTTGGAGCTTCCATAGCTTAAAGAATATAATTCTCGAATCGATTGGACTACTAGCCAGATCTCATGAGAACAAGCTATACCCAGGGAGATAGTTGCAATCAACAGCGCAGGACGGAATTCAGTTACTGAAGAATACTCGGGAAAAGAAGCTTCAAACGGATTCATATATATCTCCAGGTCAGCAGGGCTGACGGTTCAAGGAGAAGAACCTAGTAACAGGCGAACCCAGACAGTGCCAGGGCGCCAACAGGTCAACACAACAACGGAAGCGAGGCCCTCAGCAGATCGGTTCGCTCCGAAGCAACAAGGAAAGGCTTCAGAATGTGAATTGTAAGCTTACAAGAAAATCTCGAAACCAGGCCCTCAAACGGTCGGTCCGGCCCGGAGCGACCGCTCAAGGCCTTCAAAAACGCCACCAAAAACAACTGGCGAGAAGAAACACGCTCAACAGTATCTGCTGTTCCTCCAGGTAGCAGAAACAGAATATGAACTAGAACCAATACTCGCAAGCATATCACGAAAATACTACAAATTCAAGAAATTATTCCAGAAAGAATTGGATACAGAATTGCCAAAATACAGCTCATACAACCACAAGATTCCGCTACAAAAAGGAAAACAGCCCAAGTTCTTCCTCATCTATAAACTAGATAAAGCATAGCTAGAAGCGCTTAAGAAGTATCTCGATAAGAACTTCAAAAAGGAATATATACAACTATTGCAATTACCAGCAGGATATCCTATTGTCAGGGTAAAAAGGGCACACAAGTGAGGTGAAGGGGTGTGAGCTGCTCCCAAGCCGCTCTGTTGACGCTTCCATTCAAAGGGACTACTGAACCTATCTCCCTCCTCCTCTTTTTCGCTGCTGGACCTGTTGTTCCCCTTTCCCTTATGTACACAATTGGCCTGGACTAGATGGGATGACAATGGCCTGATGGCCACGCGGCATCGTACGAGAGCGCTGCTTCGGAGCGAAGCCCTCGCAGCAGCCCTGGACCGCCACCAGGGGTCGCAAGAGCCACCTATTTCCTTTGTGCGCATACAAGCCCTGACACCTATCCTGTTTGTATCTAAGAAGAATAGCAAGCTCAGGCTATATATTGATTACAAATAACTCAATAATATTAC